TTCGTCTTGCATTTATGGCGCGGATTTAAACTCATCGCTATTTTAAACAACACTGGGGTTTTTTAAATCAGTAATTACAATTGACCCCTTATCGACTTTCAATGTGCACTTCAAATAGGTAGGAAAAGGCAAATTTCATACTTTTTTCAAATAAGTTGAAAGCAGAAAGCAACAACTTAAAAGCTAAAGATTTTAATAGTGTTAAAACAGTAAATCACAACCGTTGTTAGTAAGGACAACGCCTTTCACAACACAGAGGGGTTCTTTGATTACTCGATTTGGGGTTGCAAAAAAGGCAAAATCTGGGGGGGAAATGTCATAAACGTCGATAGGACAAAAAGACTAACTGTCCGCGGGTATAATAAAAGCAAAAAGCAACAACCGAGATTATCGTCGGGTATCACAACCAACTGTGAGTTATTGCACAACCAAGAAGAGGGGTTTTCGAGTTTAATAAGTGCTACTTAAAAGTATGCAAGTAGGAAGAATTATGCTGATGATGGAGTTGGAGAGGAGGGTGGTAGATGTGGTCGGCATCAGCAGAGGCAAATTCCAACTGTTTACTGGCGGCTTCAAGGGCGTCTTCTCTGTGGCTTTCGGCTCTGCTTCCTTCGGTGGGTTTTGCTGACACCGTGCGTCTACAATCAAGTGGTTGCACATTGAGCAAGCATTACTTTGGGTCCCAGATAGCTGATTGGTCAGTGTGTGTGCCAATCATCATTCAGCATGAGTACTACTGTTTAAAACAAGAGAGAAGGGAGTGCTTACTGCGAACAAGACGCTGTCTCAGCATTGGCAGTTTCTCCCGCCAGAACAGGCATTCATGGCGTTTCAAATTGCGCGCTAACCTTGGCTTGGGCAATTGGAGGACCAGGTATTCTCTTAAAGCGTCAGTCTCAAGGTCACCCTTAAATGCGATGCCCTGCGTCTCGTAGTTGTTCCAGTGAAATCGCTTCGCTCTTGTGTGGAACTCGCTGGGATGCAAACTCGGTGACCTGGCAACATGATAAATAGTGGCAGAGTTATCCACAGCCAATGAAAATTAGGTTTGGCACGGATCAGGATTGGCTGGACTTAACTGGGATTTTTAATTGGTTAGTTTGTTAGCCAATCGTGGGTGGCTTACCCAGTTGCAGCAAAGTTAGCCCAGTACTGCATGATCGTTTCGCTGAGTTGGCGTTCTTCGTCATTGAACTTGTAGAACTCGGACTCGAACTTGAGATTCCACGGTGCTCCAAACACATATTCCGCCTCGTAGCCCTGCATGACACCCGTCCAATTAGGCCACGTCCAGCCACTTGAGCTGTGCTCAAAAGAGTAGAGGAATACCTAAATAATGCAGATTGGTAGTTAACCAAATGTTCCAATTAAAAACCGCGCTGAAATTTGATTGGCTGTTGCAATGGGGCACAAACCTGACTATTCGGTCCTTGAGAGTAGGCATCAGCAAATTCAATGAGGGGACACTTCACGTTGTAGTCGCCTGCTACTTCTGCGAGCGAGTGCTGCACCTCCACTGACGTCCACCGCTTCTTGTGAAATGCACGAGTCGGGATCTATAAGAAAGAAAATTGTCGTTCTACTTAAATCAAATAAGTAGATCATTTTTTAGATATTCCCACTGGCGAAAATCACTAAGAGTGGAAAGTAAATGGGGTCATATAAAAACCTTGGGTTATTCGAAGAATGCTTTGAATAATGTTGAAAAATTCTGTTGATAAAAGTCACATGCAACACCGATCATTAGAGACATCTGATCATGCAGCCAACGTTAATTGCTACTCACATTTTATCAGTAGGCCTGACATTTATATTTCTGACTAACCTGATATTCAAAAGCCGTAGCCTGAAGGAGAAGCGGATGAAGGAAGTCTTCATCGATTATGTGAAATGCAAGAATATCAAGAGGGTCCATGAAGGCCACGCCAGAGTCGAATTCAACCGGCAGTTTTGGTGTGGAGCCGTCTCTGAGGAAGAACTTTCGGAGTCCATGAACCAACTCCAGAGTGCCTGGGACCCAGAAGTACGTGTGAGACATTATTCTAACTACTAATAATATTCAACGTTAACTTTAAAATTCTATCTACTTAAATGAACATAAGTAGGCATGTTTTATGCAATTTGAGCGGCGTACTTTCATCTTTGTTGACTCCGAGGAGAATGCGATGACGGTGAGAGTCGCTGTTTGAACCAATAATTTGATAGGGCCAACGAGGCAAAAAGGGTTCTGTAACCACTGGCTTGAACGTGATGTTGAAGAAGAGTCCTGCTGTGTTGAGAATCTAACAAAAAAATCGATAACATTGGTCTGTGTTTTAAATCCACTCGCGGTAGGTATTTTTCAGCTCACCTCTGGATTATACCGCCGGTTGTAGAGGCGGGCTATTCGATGAAATCGTGTCGTCGATGGAAGGTCTCGAAGAAGATGCATTTTCCACTGATTCAGGATCAAACTCCCCGCCTCGGCGGAGCGCAAACACGTCTCAATTTCCTCCCGGTTGCCGTGACATCCACTCAAACCAGCAAATATGCGTGCCTGAAAAGTAAATTCTACTTTTTTGAAATGAGTAGTTGGTTTTTTCCTACTTCGTGATCTGACGGAAATTGTGAAGTGAGATTGGGTAAACAAGCATTAAATGCTTTTGAGCTGCAACTTAATGAATAACTCCTTCTTCAAATAGTCTTTGATAATTTGTCAGCTAAAATTTTAGAAACCAACTGAATCTAATCTTTTTGATCGGCCTAATAATTGTTATCCTTTCCTCAAATTAAAAAAATATTAGTTTTGGGACGCGATATATTTTTCCCATAAAAGAGAACCTGTTAAAAAATGTGTTCTGTTTTTGCTTCCTGCGATTCCTTGCACTTTGTGTCCAAGATACGTGTGACTCAGATTACGTACATTTTAATTTATGTACGTTTTAAAGAAAAACTCTGGCAAAATTTTCGAAACTCTAAAAATACCCAACAAAATCTCTCCCATTTTTGTTTACTGTGCCAGTTTGCATTAATTAAATCGAGTTCGCCAGGCGCGCAGACGCTGATTGGCTGGTCAGTGCTTCTTCGTGAGTTAATTTAGCTCGACCAATCACGATGTCCTAGAGTTTCCTCCTGTCTGTGAAGAGGAGATAATTAAAGGGCTGGAGGTATACAACCTGATGAGTCATTTCGGGAGAAGTTCTCACGAAACTTCAACAATTTCGCATCACAGAACTGCTCAATGCACGCGCAAAACGAACGTCCTAGTTTATAAAAAAATAAATTTTCATTCCAGCCAATGAGATTGGTATTTGGAGAGCTGTTTTCATTAAAACAAACCGCATTTCAATCAAGTTTCAACAGCTAGTGTATTTTAAGGCTTAAATTTCAAAAAAATCGATAGCTTTGCTGCATGGCTGAATAGACTAATCGCAAAAAAATTATAAAATTATTCAAACAATATTTGTTTAAATTTTAAGTCCGTGAAACATTCTAGGGGCACCATCTGCATTAGCCGTCAGATCGATTGACACAGGTCTGGCTGGGGAACAAGCAAGTACCTTGTTAATCGCCGACTGCAAACTCTCAGCCGACCACCAGGCAAGCGGCGACCCACTCTGGAGAATGGCCTGTTGAAACAACGGACTGGAAATTGGCGAAAGGAGATGGAGAGATGCGCTCAAAGCGCCAGCACCCTGTCCAAATAATGTGATTCTACAAGGAAAAGATCCGACCACTTACAATCCGCTTGTTTTAACGAATGGCTCCAAGGTAATTTGGGCAACCGCGCACTAATTGGTGGATTTCTCGCATGAATGAAAATTAAAACAACAGAAATGACCTATTAAGTTCACGTTATTTATTCATCCAAAAAATCAGTCAGAATTACAAAATTATAAAATAATGCCAGAATAAAGAAGCATGTAAAGTAATTTGGCCAAATTTGTAAAAATTGGAAATCATTAACTTAAATTTTGATTGGCCCACTAAAAGCAATTGTGTAAAACAAACTGGTGAATTTATACGTCGATGATGTTTATTTTTCTAAATTAACTTTAGATTCTGGCAACTCGTGTATATGACGATATCTTTTAAAAGCGTTTATTCCATACGAGAATTTAGACTCAAAATTCACAGTCACCATTTTATTCGGATTTGAAGATAACTGCTTCAAATGAACTACATTTAAATTGGTGCTGGAAATTGACGAATAATTGATTAGATTTTCCATTTTTATTAAATATTTTACTTAACGTTTTGATCTCTACATCATTAGCCAGAACCTCTCGTCTCACCCAGTCATTTTAAATTTTGCGCGGAATCGATTGAGCCAATCAGATTGTCAATAATAAAGCAGTCAAATGACGCCTATTCCCCACCAATAGGAATCGAAATGACTCCTGACCTAGGCCACCCAAAATGGTTTTTCTGATTTCACTCGCGCGCGCCTGCATCGAGGAGAGTCACTTACTGCTCGGAATTTCCACCAAAGTAGGCGATATTGCGTCGAATCCACTGAAGCGCTTCGACTTGGTCCAGAAGACCTTGGTTTCCAGGGATCCCCGGCGTCCCCAAACAAAGAAATCCCAGTGGACCAAGGCGGTACTGAATGCTCACCACAATCACGTCCATCTACGCAAGGCAAATTATCAAATGGACGAGTTAACCTGGCACTCGTCTCTGTGTGTCGGATTATATAAATTTTGAAAACAAAACTCTAACAGATCCCGCCAATTCAGCCGATTAAAACAAGTTTGATAATGGAGAATAGTTCTGGGCAATAGTTTTAAATTTAAGGCGAACAATTAAGACTTGATTGTCAATTTTAACAACGCGTTGTCAGAAATGCCCACACAACTCTAATCTGGCGTCTCTGGAAGTTGGTTTCTGGTTACCTAGGGGCACTGAAATGGCGGGAAGTTTGCTTGATGGCCATCTTTTCACTAAATAAAAACAAAACAAGAGTTGATAACGGGAAATCACCTCGCTGGCCAGAATCGCTCCATTGTACATCTCCAAGCTGGCGGACCCAGACACGAGGTTCCCACCGTGGATCCACACCATAACTGGACGCCCGTTAAGCTGTTGGAAATTCGGTGGTTTGAGGCTGCGTTTGGACCAGGCGAAAGTCGAGTCTGGCGTCGATTCCACTGGTGGATGACCACTCGCGTTGATGGCATTCGTCCAGATATTCAAATAAAGGCAGTCCTCACTCATCTCAGTAGTATTCAACCAAACCCGCATCATGGGGCTTTCCTGCTGCCCTAAAACGTCATTTTCAAAAGAAAATGATTGTTTGGGATGGATAATTTGTTTCAAACAGCAGGCTGAGAAATCGACGCAGGAAACTTGAGGAAATTTAAACAATTTGCAATACAGTTCTCTAAAGTTGTGTGAAAACGGCTTTGAACACATCCGTTTTTCTCTCTTGACACGATCTTTTTTATGCCTTTTGTAAAAAATATGTACTTCAGGCCAATCTACCTTTTAAATAACTGATCTTTTTAGCTAACGTCGATTTTTTTGCCTTCACCCGCAAAAATTGTGGATTTTAACACAAAACAGTGACGGCCATCCCTCGATTCCGCATCTAATTGGTTGCTTTGTTGACTGACTGGTTCCACTTATTTGAAAAGGCGCCATATCGATTTTTTGCGGGCTGTCAAAATGCTTTTGGTGCATTTTTCGCAAGAACTTGTATCTTTTTTGGTTTTGCTTGTCAAATCGGCCCTCTAATTATCCCCCTGAAGTGAAACCTGCAAAAGTTACCTCTCGACGTGCCTAGAGTGGTTCTGCGAATGTGAGTTACTTGAGCCAATTAGCGCTTGATTTGATTATCTTTCTGCCGATGTGATTGGCTCAAAGGATTTAGGCTTTAAGGACAAATAGATTCCGTGTGCCAATCAGAGTATAGTTTATCGCTAACAGCAAATCGATTCTGGTTGGCTGTCCGTAAAATGCACACAGTAAGCGTTAGAATGCAAATAGGCCATTTCAAATAATTTAATTCAATTTGACCTGAAAAAAAAACAAACTTAATTGTGAGGTACCGTCGCAGTTGTTTCAGTGCAATCTAAACCCTCACCAATTAGTGTCTGATTAGGCCTGTCAACATGTCCACGAACAAGAAGAATTTCGCCTTCTCTATTTTTTTGCATAAATCAAATTAGGGTCGCTAAAAACGGCTACTTCTGTCTCTGGACAATACGCCAAATTGATTTCAGAGCATTTTCAAACTCGAATGCTTAAATAAACAGATAAAATTTTAAAATCCCACGTTTTTGCATTGTTGAGCAACATGTGGTCTACCGTTGTCATGGTGACCAATTTGTAATCATTCTCTGTGTTACCATGTTTCCCCCCAGTTACCGTTTGGCAATGTAGTCGTAAGCTGGTCCAGCCAGTGGCTAAATTCAAAATTGGCGCAGCCACTACACTAAAACTGCGCATTTAAAATTGGTGATTGCTTGATTTGAAATATTGTCGAATAATCAATAATACGTTCCCCAGTTTTAGAACTTTTTGGTGAAGCCGCGTAGCTTCTCCTCAGAATTGATTTCCTACTTCCTACTAAAATCAACGTTTTTTGACACTAAGCGTATTCTGCACAGAAGCAAACTGATCAAAATCTAAAAAAAGCAGGATCAAAGGTGAATAGATGAGGATTTCTTATTTCAACTGTCTATTTAGTTATGTATGACCAGGCTTCATCTGTTTTATTCTTAAAATTCAGACGAATTGCTTAAATTTTAAATTTGTGCTTTGACTGGTAGTGAAAATCGATAATTCTGTGTTGGACGCCTCAGCCAATCAAATTGCTTGTTAATGAACAATCCAATCAACGTTTTGGTGCAAGGTTTATAAAGTGCATTATGAGTGAAATAAAGATTTACGTTTACCAATAAACCTTTTTCGACTTTTCGCTGCTTTTAGGCACGTGGCCTGAATTTCTACAGCTTCGATTGACATCTTCGGAGACTGATGTGTTTTAATCGGCATCACAAAATCATCTTTAGCGGGAAGAAATGTGGTTTGTGTGTAATTTTTCTGTAGGTACTGATGCAGGGAATCATGGATAAAAATCCCCACAGTTAAGAGTGTTTCCTGGGGTTTTTAGAATGGTTGTGATTTGCTGTTTTAACAGTAATAAAATCGTTAGTTTTTTTAATTTTTTGTCTACTGCTTTTATAAAATTTAAAAATGTATGAAATTTGCCTTTTCCTACCTATTTGAAGTACACATTGAAAGTCGATAAAGGGTCAGTTGTAATTACTGATTTAAAAAACCCCAGTGTTGTTTAAAATAGCGATGAGTTTAAATCCGCGCCATAAATGCAAGACGAAGAAATCGATAATTCTGCTGGATATAATTTGGCCAATTACATTGTGTGTAGGCTACCTAATCGATCAAGGCTTGGATGCGATGTTTGGAAATGCATATTAAGATCAAAACACGGATTGACGTTTCCAACAGACGCGTACCAACATTTCGCCGACCAAACCACATGGCCTGAGATCCGAAGAAAATCGTCGATGCGGTTCTGGCAATACCTCCACAGATTTCTTCGTGTGCATGCGCCAGACTGTCAGAATGTTTGAGTGACTGGAATTCAGAAAAAATCAAATGAACCCACTCGATTTGGATTGGGCAGTGCTGCGAGAGGGGGTTCAAGCATGACTGACGATGATTTCTTGGTGCAACCGTCAAGGAACTGTCAGAAAACAAACATCTGACTAACTGGAATGAATGAATCTACTCGCATTTGATTGGTCCAGTGTGTTGTTGCGCAGTCGCTAAGACCATGTTGTACAAATCAACGATAATTAGCAGCAACACGTAGATGGTGCGCGAACAATGGCTTGGATTAAAGAAAGAGAGGGCGAGAGAGGGCGAATCACGGTGGTTGACAGGGAAGCAAGAAGATTCTGCAAGGGGCCGAGTGTTGTCCGTTGCAGGGTCAACAAGGGATCGTGCGTGATTACAAAGACACACGCCAGATTGGTGAGGATAAATCCTGCCACATGGCGCGTTTACCATCCCACCCGACACCATCACTAGTCTCCCTCCTTACAATACTTATCGACAGATAACTTGTCATGCAAAAGTGATACATATCCTTCGGAAATGCACCTCACATCGCCCTCTTTTTCTCTTTGAATTATGCTACTTAAATTCTCAAAAAAATTCGCGATTGGTTGATGTGTTTTAATGCGCTACACAGACCTTTTGTATACGATGATGTCAGATTTAAAATGAGACTAAATTTACTGTACTTTATCGATTAGTTGATGCTCGCAGAACTTTTCGACTGGTAACTGGTCATGCAAAAACGATAAGTGTCCTTTGCAAAGTCACCGCAAATAGTCCTCTTTTTCTCTTTGAATTATGCTACTTAAATTCTCAAAAACGACGTGATTTATTGATGTGTTTTAATGCGCCACATGGACATTTGTACCCGAAAATGCGAGATTTAAAATTAGACAAAATCTACATTATTTTAATGTAAGCTACATTCACTTGGTTGATGGAGCCTTCGCTGTCATTCCTTAAAAGTGGATTTTCCTACGTTCTTCATTGAAGAGGTGCGCTAACCAATCACTCTGCCGAATTCGACGAATGTTACGATTTTACTGGTTGGGCCTTTGTGGTTGTTTGTGAGCTAGCTTTGGCGTGCGAATTTCTTTAGCTTGTGGTTAATATTTCAAAATACCCTGCAGATAATGTTCCGAATCGAGAGCATTCAAGTCCTGTCCAATGATTTTACCTAAAAAAGAAAGCTCTGTCCCTCTCTTTGTTGTGAGTTGGTGATTTGTGCTAACCCACATCCATCACATCACATGAATCGAGGAAGTAGAAAAAGGCGTAGGGGGTCGGTGTACACGACCAACTGGGAGTTGTAGACCAGTTCGGGCCTACCTCGCCTTAGCCTTAGGACGTGATTTGCCTCTTCCGCTGATTATGTTGTCGCCTGCACAACCAGTCAAAACAGTGATTCTTCATTGTGACATGGAGCCCGTGTCACCTCTTTTACACGCCCACACAACACCAGACGATGCGACAAACGCTGTTGGTGCGTACTTAAGTCTCGCCTGTGCGCCCACCCCATTGGCGCATTGCGCCAGTCTCTCGTGATGATTGGCTCTGGCAGAGAGTGAGAACCTCTACAGTTGCTCAGATACTACTTGCACTGGCATTTAAGTACTAGCAGCAATCCTAGAGCACACACTAACGAATATGACAACATCAGTACGGACTCAGCACTGCTGAAGTAATTAAACAAGCGATGATGCCGTCTGGTAGTAACAGGATGAAGGCCAGATTTGAAACAGTGTAGTAGAAGTAGCATTAGTAGTGGCAGAAGCAGCAGCAGCAGCGATGGAAATAAGAGGCGACACCTTCACACGACTCTAGGCGCCATCTAGCAGCTCATGTTATACTTGATTTGCCCGCTGCTTTAATCCTAATTCTCACTGGGCGCCATTTATAGTCAGCCCATTGGATGAGCACAACTTGCGTAGCCTCAATATGCAATTTATACTTTCGTAGTCTAATTTTTGTTTGTTATTCAAAATAACACATTCACGTTGTTGCACTCTTCGGAGATCTCGATGTTTATTGAGCATTCGATGTATTTGTTCCATAGTGGGCCCAAGATTTTCGTCCACAGTCACTGTTTACTTCATAGTTCGCGCCATTCACAGCCAACCGTTTAAACAAAACCTGGTCATATCTTCTTGGCGCTGATTTTTGCACCAGTTTAGCATGCCAACTCCCCACCACAAGTTCATGGAACTTGGACTCCAAAATGAAATTTTAAGTCGGTTGAAAATTGCGAAATTTGCTATTTTTGGAAAGTGGTTAATAACCAGCAGCGGAATCTGGAAGAACACTCGCACACGGTTGGTTAGACGTCAACTCCACCATGACGCGATTGCCGTGTGGTTTCATGCAATGTACCCTTAACGACGGCTAAATTTACGTCAGCACGTCGAAAAAATTGTTGGCTTTTTTAAAGCAAACATTTTGATTAACCAATAGCACGCCTTCGTGGATTTAAAAATCATTTCAGTTTCACAGCAAATTATTGATTTTCGACACTCTGTTAATAAACTCGTGTTGGCATTATTGCAGACAAAATCGTTTTTCTGATCCTCGGTAATTGTTCAGTTTAAGGCGAATTTGCCGTAATTCAGCATCATTTTTTTCTCGAAAACGACCTTGCAGCTGTAGCACGTGCGCACGTTGCGCGCAAAAGACCACCAACCGTCTGCTAGGGGTCACAATTTGACCCAGAATATTCCGTTAAGTCACCTTGAAATGCTGTGTGGACTAATCGAGTATTTAAGAAAAAAATCGGATTCATTAAAACAAAATACTTCATTATTACTTTTGTGTTGGGATAAAATTGTGTTATTGCAATACAGTTGCAGCCAACATTTACACAAAATAGCCAATCACGTGGCGGGATTTTAGGCAGCGAAATTCAAATTCAACCTTTAGAAATTTGTCCACACATTTAGTCCTAAACTGAACCACACTTGCATGTGGGCATTCAAGGGCCATGTCACTTGAATTTTTTCACAATTTCGTCAGATTTTGGTGTGTTTAAGGCCCTCCAATCACATCTTTTAATGCCTACAATCGCTAGCCACAATTGGTTAAAACTAAATTTAAATATTGGACACCAAATCCATGCATATCGATTTATTTAAATTGGTAAGGTAAGGATCAGTAAAGTCGAAATTTGAGAGTGGCGTTTTTTTCAAAAAACCCCAAAATCAAGTAGTATTTTCACAAAAATACCATGTGCTGCGCATCCTATTAGATGAACCGACGTATTTGAGTGAGGGCGTCTAATTACAAAGCGGAAGGGGGAAAAATTTGGCAGGAATGTCGTAAGTAGACGCGATCTAGAAAAAGCACAGACGTAAGCAAAATAAAACAACTGCGGCATTTCGTCAGTGCACACCCACCAGCTGCCGTGTTTAAATCTAGCCCTGACAACTGCACACCAGCCACGTCGGGAGTGTTTTCTACTTATTATCGATTTCAGTAGTGTACCTCAACCCAAAGACGCCTGCATTTTGGTTTTTTAAAGACAATTAATTAAAAAAAAATAGTTTTATTAAATTTGCCGCAATTTCAAAATTTCACAAACATTTAAGACTTGTGGATGAGAAAATATTTGCGGTGAAAAGGCACATTTTCTTTCCAATTTATGACTTTTAAAATATGTAAATTAAAAAATTTTGTTGGTGTTTATGAGGTTGACAAGGGTCCAAAAGTTTTAAACAATATTGTGGTTTTTTAAAATTGCAGTTTTGTCGTTTGAGTCATATTTATACATAATTGGTTGATCTTAACTTCCTGCCTACAAGCGCCAAACCTCAGTCTAAATAGGTTTAGAGAGACAAGGCGCATTTAATGCTGATCTCATCATGACCTTGATGCGACGTACTCAACAATTTAAACAAATATCTCTACCCAATGTACTGGCTTAAATTTTCAATTCAACTGGCGCTAGATTTTATTCAATTAACAATTATCACGAGTGCAGAAATATCAGAAATATCTGGTTGCAGCGATTAAAATCGTCTGACAATTATCAATATTTTTAGCCCGCAGAACAGCAATGAAAGTACATGCGCTTTTACGACAGTAATCAATGTTGCGCACACTTGCACGCGATTGGCTGTTCCTTCTTTTCCCACCTCGACCAATCAGCGCGTGCCGAAATCTGTGCACCACTTGTGCACGCGCGCACACACCTTTCCCAAGTACCGCGCACACACACACACACAGGCATCCAGAGGAAATCTGAAGTGGGTGAACGCGGGGTAGGGAGGGGTCGCTAATGTGACATTTTTATCCTGTCTCTCCAATCGTAATGTACGGGTCAAGTAATAGTTCCACGGGACGGCGTGCGTCACTTCCCACTAATTCCACTGCCAGTGGCGACAACGCGTCCACTGCCTCCCTTTCTGTCTCCGTCTCTGTCTCCTCCTCCTCCGCCGCCGCCTCCACCACTTCCACGTCTTCTTCCTCGAGCGCTGGAAAAAAGCCAGAGTGCCGCAATTTCGAGCCCCAGCAGTGGAGACGGTCAGTTTGCAAGAATTGCTTTCGCACGGAGCCCGAACACTCGGCTCTGGTTGACGCGGCCACGGAAACACCCGTCAGCGTGAATGCCTGGCCAGCGACGCCGGCATTGACACGCAAATCTAGCGCTCCGGTTGCCATGGAAACGCAGAGCGCTGTAAGTCAAGGTCGAGGAGGTCTTCAGGCGCGAAGGCCAGGCCAGCTCGGCCACAGGTGCGTATTGATTTCGGTTGTTTTTTAAATAAGCAGCATTCTAAAAATTTCCCCCGAATGTTGGTCATGAAATTCGAGTTCGTGGTGAAATTACACCAGCTTACCCAATCAATGACATTCATTCACGTGGATTGATCGAGTGTTAGTTAAGCGAACGCGTCCAACCAATCATTGACCACTTTCACAAACCTTAGTTCATTTTCTGATTTACTTGACAAAGGACATTCAATTTGCTGACTAAATGGATTGAAAATGATATAGTATTGATTTCTGTTTTTTTAATACGTAGTATTTTAAAAACTTCCTACTAATGTTGGTCATGAATTTCGAGTTTGCGGCGAAATTACACCAGCTTAGCCAATCAATGACATTTATTCACGTGGATTGATCGATCATTGTTTAAGCGAACGCGTCCAACCAATCATCGACCGTTTTCACAAACCTTAATTGATTTTCTGATTTATGTGGTAACAGACATTCAATTTGCCCACCACGTGGATCGAAATCTTATTGCTCATATTTTGGAAAAGCCACTTAGGCAGTAATTTAAACTTTCGACCTAGAAAAATCTTTCGGCAGAGTTATGGACCGTCTTAGATCATGGGGTCAGGTGGATTAGGCATTTTGGGTCAAAGTAGGCTCGGTATTTTCTGAGGTTATACCACTAAATTATAATACAGTAGAAGCTAGTCCTTTCTATCCACTAAATTGTCTTTAAACGGTGATCGCATATCGATTTTATCCACATACATCCGGCTGTAGAGACACGATTGATTTCCGTTCGCGAAAATCGAGAATTTTCGCCCGTCCTTTTCCACCTCAGCCCAATCCTTGCACGATCAACGCTTAATCCATGAAAATTTAACCCACTGTCCTTCCGTTTCTTGGAATTTGTTGGTAGATCTGCAGACGATTTGCAACGAGGCGCCCAACCCGTCCACAGGGGTACACCTGCCCCCCTCCAAACCCCCCTCCCTCAGCCACCGGCGCCCGACCGAGCCTCGCAGGTTGGCGCGACTGGCATCTTCTCCTCGGCGTCCAGCATCGACGCGCGCTACGTGGAGGAGTTGGAAAACGACTTTTTCGACCTGGAGGACAGGTACGACGCCCTGGCACGCGAACGCAACGACCTCTCGCTGGAGTTGGAGTCGAAGATGCGGAGTGTCGAGGAGTTGCAGACCTCGCTGGAGCAGTACAAAGAGAAGGTTGTCACTCTTGAACGCAGATGCGCGCACCTGGAGGAGGAGGTGAAGACCTACAGGTAAGGCGGTTTTGCCCTTCTCGTCTGTGATTGGTCACAATCTGGAAGATCCAACTTTGCGTGTTTCTTAACAGAGAACGCCTCAGATTGCCGGAGAGCGATCAAGGCGGTGTCGGATCGGACATCAAGACCAACCTCGGCGTGACAATCGACGCGGGCGAAGGTGGCGATGATCTGCGGGCGCGGTTGAACCAGGTTGAACAGCTCTGCCAGGACGTTATGGAGGAGAACGAAGTGCTCAAAGAGGAGATTGAGGAGATGCAACGGGAAATAGAAGAGATGCACGACCATTTTCAGGTTAGTTTCACTAACTCTGAACGCCAACCTTAAATTATACTGATTTTAGGAAGAAGATCGTGATAGCATGCGTGAGATGCAGCGTGACCTTGAGGCGGCCAATAAGACTTGTCGAATACTGCAATTTAAATTGCGCAAAGCTGAGCGCCGATTCGAACAGGTTGAGGCGGAACGCGCCAGTCTTGAAGAACGTCTGTCACGACTGGAATCGGAGATGTACAGCGAAACTGACATTGAACACATTCGAAATCTTGAGGTGAGTCGAGCTTTGGACCAATCATACGCGAGCATTTGTTACCCTCTTAGCATAGTGTAGTTACGCAAACCATTCTAATTGTAGGAGGAGTTACGCGTTGCCAAGGAGGTTACAGTTAGACTAAACAATGAGCTCGACATTCTTGAAGAGAAGAGGCACTTTTATGAGGACGAAAATCACCAGCTCAAGGACGAACTTCAGATCTGCCAAAACCGTCGAATTACGTCAGAGAACGAGGTTGATCGGCTGCGATTAGAGGTTGGCTTTATTTTGGCTACTTTGTTAAAAGGACGTTGCTGATTGGCTGACCATAATTTTTACACTAAGATTATTGGCCATGGAGCCAAGACACTGGTAACACTGAATAACTTGTTTGCCGGTGTTACACGAAACACGCACGGGAGGTTAAAAATGTGGCAACCGTGATGAACCACGATCTGCGTTCCTATTGGCTGCCGTAAGCCGACTAACCGTTACTGTCGCGTTACGTGAACGCATGTGCGCGCGCACACAACCGCACGCACGGTCGCAAGCAAAAATCAATAAAGCGCCGGTGCGCGTGTGCGTGCATATTTGTGCCGGCTGTAAACACGAATTTGCCCGTTCTTGGCAAAGATCAGACACATTAATATTTCGGTTTTACAAAAAAACACATTAAAATGATGTCTAGCTAAAATGACAATTCTCTGCAAGCTGTCTTAAAAATTAAAAAATTCATTACAGAGCTACGCGTTACTACAGACGTGGAATTTTAGTAGTAAATTCATAAACTCCGCCACTGAAATCCGTACAAACTTACAGAAATGTTAAAGTTCTTCTCGAAGTTAATAACTCTTAATGTCGGTCCTGATCGATCTTGATGTCTCCTTTAAAGGTAATAAGTTTCCGTCTTTTATAATTTAGCTAGACAAACTGAAGTACGAAAGCAGATTCGCGGAACGCGGCCCACTGCAAGTAACAGACAAGAAAGTGGTGAGTTGATTTTTTTTAAACGAAAGTGCCTTTTTACTTATTTAATAACAGTAAGCAGAAGGTAATTGGATAAATTTTGGCAGGGCCGACAGAGCACGCCAGGTGCGACTACGCCGAACGCCTATTCCGCCGAGCAAAGCGAGCTCATGAGCGCATTCCAGACGGCGAAAGAACGCGAGGCGGACTTGTCGGAGCAGCTGCGCTTTGCTGAAGAGGAGCTTCGGAAAATGAATCGACGTGTGGCCGAGGCACAGGCAGACAATAATGCGCTGACACGTCAAATCGAACGTCTAAGCATGCAACAAGTAGGCGTGAATCAAAAAACGTGGATTTCTTGGAGAGAAAGAGGTTTTTAATCGGTTGATCCTTTGTAGGTTCGCGGTGAGAGCCCACGAGCCACGGCCTCCCAGGTTAAAAAGGAACTTGCTGCGACTCAACCAGAAAGTATGATTTCATTGCTACTATCTGCTTATGAGTAGGGATTATTTTTACAAACTGCTTCGTTTGTTTTGCTTAGTCAAACGAACAGAAGCCGACACAGTGGAATCTCGTGCGCCGTCTCTCTTCGTCCGTCAGTCCGAAGATCGTGTGGCCGTAGAAAACGCAGAGAAGTTAAAAAATGTCATGGAGGAGTTGAAACAACAGCAGGAGGCCAATAAGGCTTCGACAAAGCGAATGAACCAATTGGCTCACGAGTTTATGGTTCTCAAGGCCAGTTCTCGAGAAATTGATTGGGTGACCAAGTACAATGAGGCCGTAGAAGCTCAGAAGGACGCAGAAAAGCAGGTGACGTATTACACATTGGCAAAATAAGAAGCGTGTGTAGTTGTATATTCAGAGACACTTTAAACGCCTACTAATTAAAAGTAAGTAGAGTTAATTTTATCCGGTAAGGTTGACGTCCTAAAACGGAAGCTGGCGGAATCGCACACGGACTTGCCAAACTCCGTGATTGCAAGAATTGAAGGACGAAGGCCATCAACGCGTGAGAATGACACTCGTGCGTCAATGTCAAAAGAATGGCTGCTACAGAAGCTTAGCACTTATGACAAAGAAATGTGTAAGTTAATTTCTACTTAAATAATTGCAGTAGGCTCGGAATTTTGGGTTTATATTTATGTAAAACCGTATTACCGCCCCTGAGGATGCGACTGAGAAAGGGCTCTTTTTGTGCTTCCGATGGTACTTTTTTTAAATTCAATTTGTAAAAACTTTACAGCTGAGCTCGAACTAGAAATTACCGTATTGAGAAGCTCAACTAACAGCTTGCGGAAACAGACTCAACGACTTAGCGAGGAGCAAACCGACATCAAGGCAGAATCTGAACAGCGTGAACGAGAACTGCGCCTGTACGTTGAGCAGTTGGAAAAGAAGGATTATGTTGTCAACGGCCTCTTAGAGCTCATGATTCAGCGCACTAACCTACTGCAAAATGAACTCGACCGGTAAATACAGAATTTATATACTTTTGACACTACTAACTAATATAAGTAGAATTTAAAAAAAATTAATTTTTTTAGAGCTACAGCACCTGAAGATGGCAAGTTTGCGAACGAGGCAAGTTTGATTCTCGTGAATATTTAGCCTCAAAATCCATCAAAAATCTATAAATGTCGATTTTTCTCCAGTCAAATATCGAAGACCGCTTGAAGAATCTGGAGCAGCTGCTTGAAAACGAAAGAGAGCGAGCACGCCTCCTGGAAACCCAGTTGAATTCTGGCTGTCATAACATTCCACGTCCAATGCTTAGTGAGAACGAACGTCTGCGGTTGAAAGAAATTGAAGTACTTAAGGCACAAGTAAGTGCTCACTTCCGTTGAGAATTCGCTGTGATTGGTTCCAACACTCAACCTCCTAACCAATCAGAAAGCGAAAAATGTGGCAGGTGGTCGTTGTGACTGGTTCCAGCACTTAACCTTCTAACCAATCAGGTAGCCGGAAAATGCGGCGGGAAAAGAGAGTTTGCTAAACAATAAGTTAGCAGTTTATGCGGGGTACTAAATTCATCGTTAAACTGTGTGCTTTCAGCTGGAAGAGAAGGATGAACAGATAGAGGACAACGAAAGCCAAATTCGAGAGCTCAAAGGACGCGTTGAGCGTGCGAAGAAGATGAACGAGGCAATGAAGACGTTGATAGACAAGGAGCCTGCAGAACAGCCACGAGGAACCGCAACGTCGACGCTGGAGAACAAGCAGGCCGCCATCGAAATTTCCAGCTATCGCCGGGAGATCGATTCCATGCGGAAGGAGATTGCAATTGTAAGCCAAACTGAACCTTCTTTACTACTTTTATAAAATGAGTAGTACGTATATATGCAGCTGTCAACACGGTAGAGATGCATTAAATGACCTAGGTTACATTACTTAAACGGAATATTCTGCCTGTTACAGCTCCAACAGAAGGTCACACAGATCGAAAAGGTTCGGGAAAAACTAATCCTCGAAAATAAAGATCTTCAGGAGGAACTGAAACTCCGTGAGGATTCGCTTTTTGATCAGGACGATGAGCTTGAAAAAAGAAACGCAGATTTGGCCAAGGCGAAGCGTGCTCTCGAGTTAATGCAAATCGAGGTACGTATCAGTATTCTTCTTTCTGATTGGCCAAGTCATCGGCCAATCAAAGACGGCGGCCGTTCTTATTGGTTCTTGCTAACCACTCGTAATCGCTTGCAGCTAAACGAAGCTCGGAAAGGATTGGCCGCGGCAAGGGCACAAGAAGGCATGAGCACGAAGATAAGCACTGCTATCGCAGAGAACGAACGACTTAAAGCCGAACTCAGACGCGTAGAAGACGAGCTTAATGGTGCGCTAATGATGCCTATTGGCTAAAAAATTACATTTAACATGGCGTCTTAAAAGAGGGCTTTTTGAAACATTTTAGCTTCAACCCAACGTCTGGAAAAAGCGCAAGCTGTAGAAGCAGAAGCCGTAGAGAAGTGCAAACGGCTAGCAGAGGAGTTGAAGTCGAAAGAGAGCCTTGTTCACGAGAAGGAGAAACAATTGGAAGAGGTTAAGAAGGACACCCAGCGGCTTGATGAAGAGTTGAGTTCAGCAAGAAGCTCCAGTGCAGAAGCTCAATTGAAAGTGAAGAAGTTGGAGGGTACAGTATTAGACCTGCAGAGAAAGTAAGGGTCACTAGCAACAGAGAAAATATTTACTACTAGATTTTGTAAGTAGGCATAATTATTACAATTTTTTCCTTTCAGGATTCAAGAGAAGGAGGCAACTCGGAATCTTAGCGCGCTAGCTGAATCGCCTCCAGGAATACCCCGAAGTCCGGCCTCGTGGAGGACTGACTCCTCCCCGGACAGTGGAATCGGACGAAATGGAAGTCGAGACGGCCGACGCACTGAAATGGACCGTCTGCGTCGTGAGTGCACGGCCCTGAGACAGGAGCGCGACGAGATTGCCAAGGAGGCACGGCGCGACAGGCAGATATTTGAGAAACGTCTACAGGAAGCCTGCAATCGATTGGTGTGTATTACGTATTTCCATTGAGGATTGGTGCATCCATCTAACCAATAGGGTTAGAGCATCTGGGAATTTGATCAATGAAATCCGACTTCAGATGTCTACTTTTCAGCATATTGGCGACCTAACAAATCCCATTCTTGTTTTAGAATTCACTAGCAGATAGTACGTCGAATGCAGCGGTGTCTGGAGCTTCCATGGGTGACACGTACGTCCGAGCAGTCGCTGAGAGGAAGATCAGTCAGAAAATTAACCTATTTAACGAGCACATCGCCAAGCAAAACAGCATTATCTCTCAGCTCAAAATCAAAAACGAAATTGTTCAAACGAAAATGCTTGAGTACCAACGACGATACGCCAATATGAAGGAGCAATACGAGGCGGAACAAGAGGCGTGGCTGTCTGAACGAATTGTCCTTGAGTCAAAAGCAAAAGAGGTTCGTAATCTCGCACAAAATGGCTACTAATTAATACCAAGTAGGGTGTAATTTTTGAACTTTCCGATTTCAGCAAGAAGAAAGGAAAAATACCATCGCGAGTACACGGAAGTCCTTGCAAGAGACAAGTGTTCGTCTAGCCGAGGCTGAATTAAACTTTGAGCGTGAAAGGCAAAAGTTCGAGGCCGAAATCGCCAGACTGGAATCTGAGAAATCAGAGATCAAGGCAAGTTACTGTCATTGTGTAAATACTTTCTACTTACACCTTATCAGTAGCGAGGACTTTGCAATATCTATTCCACCTGTTCTACCCAATGTTAGGTGCAATTGACTCAGCTAAAAGAGCAACAGAAGCTGCCAAAAGTGCTGCAGCGTTTCAGCGCCTCGCCAGCAAGAACAGGTCATATTAGCATGATAAATGCCAGCGCCTCGTCCACCGCAGCCACCTCAGAGACTTCAAGACGTCTGGATTCCGCGGAAAGAACCATCGCTCGACTCAAGTCGGAGCTGCAGCATCGGCTGGAGGCTCAATCCCAGGCCACCATCGCTGCCATTCGTGAGGCGGAGGTTGCCAGATCGGCCGCCGAATCACAAATGGAGTGTCTGAATGAGCAGCTGGTTCAGCTGAATCACTTCCGTGAACAGGCGGAGCTATTCAGAGAGCGACTGATTGAATCAGAGCAGGTGGGCGACCGTGAGTATAAGATTTGGTCGGAGGAACGCGAAGACCTGCTCTGCCGAATTGAGGACTCGCGCATTTCCGTCGAGCAATGGTGCATACGTCTGGCCAATAGGGTGAGAGCATCTCGGATTTTGACCAATGAAAACCTGATTTCAGATGACCAATCAAAATGGATATTATTCTCTGTACTTTTCAGGAGGGTACAGAGGGCACTACTGCCGAGGAAATAATAAATGACATTGTTGCTGAGATGGAGAGGTGGAGAACAAGTCGACAGCACATGCCGCTCCTTCAAAGACGGTAGGTTTAGAAGGAAAAAAACCAACTACTTATGTGATTTCAGTACAGTGTGCGCTACTGTTACGATCGATTTTACTCGGTTGCAGGAGTTGTTCGACGGAACCAGAGTTCCTTCGGTAGGTGTGTGTTTAGTAAACCCAGAAGCTCACCCACGCGCACTACGCGTTCGCTTTTACATGCATTAAGTACTGCTTCTAGCACGAAATTGTCAGACATTGATTCGCCCTTTTATAGGAGTAGCTCTGCGGGTCCTGCAATGGCTGGGTATGTTCCCCATCCACCCCTAAAAAAAGCCATCATACTGCTTATTAGACTTCAGTAGCGTGCTTAGTTGCTTTTGACCGCGCCAGTAGCAGACACATTTGCTTTTGCTACTTACACTCAGGATGTCTCAACCAATTGCAAAATGAAGACTGTAACAGTGCCTCTGGACTTACTTTGCTATGATTGGTCACTGAGTCGACCAATCAGAATACGATAATAATTTTTTTCCAAATTTGCGATAATAATCGAATTTTGCAATTTGGCTGAGACAACCTACCGGTTATGTAAGCAGACTTCGTTCTTTGCTTTTGTCATAATGCATGCTGTTACATGCATGTCATATTTGAAAAAAAATTGTGAATCAAAGCAACTAATTAACAACGTAAAAAAAGTTTAACAAATTGTACTTTAGCAAGACTCGTTAGTTGACCTACATATTACCTCAACATGCGAGACCAATCAGATCTGACCAATCAAAAACCTGTAATTTGACCAATTGCACTTCACTATCCAGCAGCCAATGAAAAACGTGGGTTTTAAGACAAACTCGAAGACTGGTTGCTAACGAAATGTTATTTTGTTAGATCGCACATATCGGATACCCAATCGATGATGGGCGACAGTATGATCAGTACACCCGCCACACAACCCCGATCAGGCGGTATTTACCATCCACCAATGTCAGCTGGACATCGATCAACGTCGGTTGAATGGTTCAGCAGATCTGGAAACGGCGGTCCGTCAAATTTGCGCGGAAGCACACTGAGCTTAGCTGCAGGCATCAGCCCATCGCTAGCCAGGAGTGTAACGCCGTCGCTTATTCGCTGCGGACGCTCCGTTTCACCCGATGTTAGCGTCCGAAAGGTTAACATTCTTTACTACTCATAAATAATTAGTAGTCATGCCAATGAAAATAACTAATGCCCGCGTCTCTTATGATTTTAGATAACAAACTATCCTGATCCTACACCGGGTTTCCTTGTCCGATCACGGCAAGCCTCCGTTGACAGTCTCGGAAGCATAGGCGATCTTACTCAGCGGCCCTTTACAATGCCTGGTAGATACTACTAATTAAAAGTCAGTAGCGAGGAAATAGATGAAGTTGCACGATTTTTTTTTATAGGAAAACCTCCCCTTCGTCAACCCATTTCGCCAGCACGTCGAAAGTTCTTTGACGAGCCAGGGCTTCCATGCGGCGGATCCCTTCCGAAGCCTGAAGTTGTCAGCTTCCAGTCGATTGCTCCGATTCCAGAGGTTCGACAAAGCGCAAAGGCACAATCGGAGGAGCCGTCAGCACCCAAGGCCGATTCACCGACGTCAAAGAAGTCGGCAAGCAGTGCAACACCATCCGTACTCTCCCGACTTTCGTCAAAACTCACCGGCTCAAAGACAGACATCTCCAAGCGCAAGTCGCCGCCGAAGGAGAAGCGCCAGTCGCCAACAACCGTACCGAAGAAACCCTCTCAACCTCTGGAAGGCGCCACTTCCAAGTCCTCCCGAACCACTAAGAAGCGGACGTCACCAGAGAAGACGTCTTCTCGGACCTCTCCGCCGACAGTCGCCACCACCTCGCCCGCGACAACGTCGTCCTCGGTTTCAACGAAGCGCCGAGGCTCCGAGATGGTCCAGACCATCGCGACGAAGCTGAGCACAGTCTCGTCGGAGGCGAAGCCGTCGTCTTTGAAGACAACGCGATCTGGCAGCCTCACTGGCGTTGGCATTGCCCCGTCCATCATGGCACTTAGACAAAAATTCGGTGGGAAGTAGCCACCCTGTGTGCTATCGGGCACGCACTTTCGAACCGCTGCATTTTAAATTTTGACGCATTTTCGAAGAAGACTACTTCTTTGTTTCTTAACGCACCCCAATGTTGACTTCAATTTGACTTCCACCTCCTGCATTACCAATTTACCAAATAACCCTGTTTTTAAGAGGCAAACTAACAACGAGCCGACTGTGTTTTTCAGTATCAGAAAAATGTGCACAGATTGGATGTCCGGATTCGTCGATTTTACAAAGTCGTCATTATCTAAACTGCGCATATTTACTCAACTGACCGCTTGACCACGATCGAACTACGTCCGAGCGATGTTTCGGTAGGTACAGGGTCAATTTCCGAAGTTAGAGTGCAATCCGATTCCCTGCGCCTCAAATAATCACTGGCGCAGAACACTAGAACATACATTTTCGGCATTCAAACAAGACTACGGTGATTAGCAGGCATGGATACATTTGCTGTGATCTATAGCAAGAGGTTGCGATGGATCACGATGACCTACATGGTCAAAGCACGTTCCGATTAACACTAGCGATAAACAACACCGGTTCAGATTCACCGTGCTACAGTGAACTCAAAAAAAACGATTAAAAGCGCGCTAATCGTCCGTGTTTGGCACAAAAGCATGACTGGTCAAGTTTACACAGGAATATCGATTAGCGGCACAGCAACTAAGACACATCACGACCCCCACCGGCACCCCAAACAACTAAGGTATGCTAAACTATGCTGCGAAACACGAAACTTTGTTGATTGGAAGGAACAAAGGGGAACGTTGTCATGCAGAAACAAGGATCAAGTAGCGAAGTACAAAACCGAGACAACTAATAGCAAACTAGCAGAGGAGCTATTGGTTCTCGCGAAGGTCATCGTTCCACCTCAAGGCCGATTCCTACCTGGGTGTCGTCGGCGTCGTTAAACATCGCGCAGAACGTGGTCTTCACGCCTACGGGGGGTAAATAGAATTTAGGGCCTTCCAAAGCCGCTGGTGCTTTTAAAATAAACCACGATTACTCACCTTCCATGATTTGGCTCTTAAGGGACACGGAAATACGCTGCAGGTTATCCAGTCTGACCTTGAGCATGTGTTTCCTGTCTTGGTCAACGGCAAATTGGCCCACAACAGCCCAATTGTTATCGGGTACATCACGATTCCACGTCGCCTGCAACCAATTAACGCGTCTTCCGTGATACACACACACATGCACCAGCACACCATCCTACATTAATAGCTACTTGGCATTTAAAAGTCGAATCGGATTGGCTAAGCGGTTTACCAATAACAAAGATGTCAGCTACAAGGGAACATAAACTGGCTATGTTAAAAAATATAAACCAATTGTCTCCAAATTCATCAGATTGGATCGTTCGTGGAGATACAAAGCGGTGATTGCCACCAATTGCTTTCGAGGAAACAAGAACACTGGTTTCGATTTTTGTTACGGTTTTCTACTAGCAACCACGGCAACTAAATGCATTTGATTAAATAAAGTGGACAAAAGCTAATGATTGGTGAGTTGGGAAAAAGACCAGTACCAACACGAGCGCCGAATTAGACAAACGAGCAACAACAAGACGTCACTCACCTCTGCCGCGTATTCAAACCGATCAGTGAGCCGCTGGTAAATACCGACTGTGTAGGTTTTAGCCCAGTGAGTGATGATTCCGTGGAAACCAAAATCTTTCGCCGAGTAGGCACAAGCAAGGTCAACTTGATCTATCTTTTGCTTAGCCGAGTCAAAATGAACATCGGCGCCCAGCAAATAGTCCTGATATCTAAGCGGGTAGAAAACAGCACATGCAAGCTTAGTAGAAGCAAGATTTAAGTCATAAAGGAGGCACGTTCAGCCTACCCAAGAACAAGCGATTGAGTGACATTGGGGACAGCTTTGCGGAAGACAAAATCAATGGAGCCGTTAAACGCGTCCTTCTTAAGCTCAGACTTCATGTTTGTCCGGTTTGTTCTAATTTGTTTCATTATATAACAAAAAAGCTATACCCTGTGTTCGTGTCGTATGTCATTTTGATGCTGTTTTTGAAACCTTCAATGAGCTTATCTTCGATGGTCGCCTCAGCTGATATGTAGCTCTTCGAGTACCACTTCTCGGTAAGCGTTAGACCGTAATCTTTGGCTTTATACTTCGACTCAAATAAGCCTACAACCTGACAAGACGAAAAACTGATAAATCTATGATTGTAAAACCCACTTTTCCGGCACGTAGAACATTGTTCATTAAGGCAGTGAATTCGAAGGGATCATTTTTGCCCTTAAATGAGATGAAGTGGACTCCAAGATCAAAATTCTTTTTTATGAGATCACGAGCGGACTTGCCAATGTCTGCGTAGCAAGGAGGAGACATCGCGCCGACACCAAAAAAGAGCACACTGCGAAATCACACAGTGACCTTTAAAATAGCTCTATCATTATCATCTGTTTTCACACATAGCATAATAAACTTTATAAAAAAACAAAGTCAGCAACGGAAACGTTGTTAATTTTTGCTGCAAATATTTTTTTATTAATGAAATTAGGTAGGTTTTCCTATCAGGGGGCAACGATTCGATAAGTGTAGAGCTTCACTATTTTTAAGACAAAAAATTACCATGCTTTTTCGCGCAATTATCTAGGCTTTACAAACCTTTGAACGTAAGAAATTATTGCAAGGCATTATACCTAAGCACTGAAAGAGATGAAACAACTACTAGTTCTTTAATTATGCAGAAATGATCTGCTGAAAATGCTGAAAATTTAACTTGCTCAGAGATGCTAAATGACTTCTCCAAAGTCGATAAAGCATTAGGCTATGAAACTTTTGTTGTTCTCTAGGTTAAAAGTGAAATAAAATTAAAGTAAAGTATTAATTTTTGGACGCAGTGCATTATTAGATGCTCCTGCTGTCTACGTGCTATCGGAGAAATTCAATTTATCACAAACCTAAAACTAAGCAAGCAGAAATCTTGATTTTATACGTCACATCTGTAGGCTACTCTGTATCACACCTTAATATATTATTTTGTGACAGATTTGCCAAAATATTATTTTACGATTTCCACTTGCACCCCAAACATCTTAGTTATTTGTGTGCGCGTAACTATTAATTTATGATACTATCGATTCTTCCGTGTTTTCACGTATTAGTTACAATCTTAAGAGCAAATTAAAAAATCAAATTGAATAGGTTAATAGAGCCACTAAAAATTAGAAGGAACAGGCTACTCTCATCGCACTTCAGGTTTCCTAGTAAACAATGACTGCATATGTACGTCAATTTAATAATTTTATTTTGATATCTGATTAATAAACATAATTACTTGCACAAACTAGCCATTCTTTGAAAAAAAATCAAATTTGTGGAAAATTATAAAAAAAAGCTGGGTTTTGTATTTAGCATTTAAAGGCATATATAACGATAATAACGATATCATGGATTTCATAAAATCTGTTGTAAATTGAGAAAGAGCAGGATCGTTTTCACTACCTGATTGACTGACAGCACAACTCATTTCAAGAATTGATTTCGCTTTATGTAGCCAGTTGAATGAACCCTATTTATCCTTCATTAGATTTTGCCGAATTCCAATTAAAAATGATAAAAAAAATTAAGCGCAACTTTTAGATCACATAATTTATGCATGATTTTTTGTTTAAAAAGTTAGTGTAGTACAATTTTGACTTCTCTGTCATTGGCTGCCTGAGCAAATTTATTCATTTTTCTTTGACAGGCTAATCGTATTCACCGCGGTAGGCCAAAAGCAACGACTAATGAATGGCTGGAAATCGAATACATTCGGCAAATAATTTAACCGTCACTACACTATTGGTACCAGATTTATAAAAGTTAAGAGACGCCAAACACCACCAGAACATAAATGTCGTTGAAAGGGAAACTATATCTTCAGGGTAGTCATCTATAGATACGCAGACATAATGTGGGAAAATTTGGATTTTAAGCAATTCATAAACATTTCCTTTACTTGCAGTTAGTTTAATAACAAAAGTTATGTTGCCTTTTGTGTTGTCCTATACAAGGTTATGGACTAAATTGGCAGGAAAACGTGGAGTTAAATGGACGTCATTACCTCAGGAGATCAAGGAATTTGGCATGGACATTTTGCACAAAAGTGGGAATTTTCTAGACAGAAGACGACAACCACGTGACAGCATTGCTTCACAATTACATGGACATTCCGCTGTTCGCACAAACAACTGTTTACCAAAAACATCCCCTCTTAATTTTACCCAACCCCAGATTTAGTTTGCACTCATTGGCTACTAAAGAATAGGCATTTTTTAATTCGACAGCATTCAAACACTCAGCTTCAGCTAACAAAGTAAGAAATCATAAATAGTTTCGCTTCTCTTGCAGCCAAATGTGCCAAAATTTTGTGCAGCTTATCGAATCAACCAATACATATGCGTCATGGTGACCTTGAGTTATTTTAAGGTAGTCAAGGTCACGGCAAAACACCGAATTTTATCAAATGAACGCCTAGGTCGATAATGTTGGCTCAGATTATCTTAAAAGGCACCGATCAGGTGGGGCTGCACTATGTAGATAAAGGTAGAATCTGCTAGAAGTTCAACAAATACTACTTAAATGGTTTTGGTAGTAGATGTAAATAATGTCGAGAGTAAACTGTTGACCCTTGTTTGATTTTCCTTGAAAATTCAGAAATCCCTTCCTTTTTGGCTGAAAATTTTTCTGGCTTTCTATCTGGAGAATCATTTGGAACGAATTGAGGCTGTAAAGAGGGCGTTCAACTTCTCATGTGCATTAAATAAAATCACATCATACATTATTCCTGGAGCCAATCGTAAAAAAGTGCGCGTGAAATGGCTTTGTTTGTTTTCGAAAATACGGGACGATCTTTGGCAGTAAATATTTGCTTTTAACGCGCCTGTTTTCCCGCTCTCCGACGTAACTTATGACTCATAACCACTGATAACTCTTGAAAATATAAAAATGCTGTCTTTAGCAAAAAAACTTGGATGCCTAAATGACATTTGCGTCACTACACCGCCAGATATCGGATAATTTTATATTTGTCTATTGATCAGATCGTTTGAATGCGATTTTTATTCAATAAAATCTGAGAATTTTTGTTTTTTTTTTAATTTTCATTGCAGCACAAGACAGTCGCCTAACCGGCACTTTTCAAGTTGCAGATCAAAAAACCTGGATATTTTTCAAATTTTATTAAAATATGCAGACTGCCACGAACTGTTCACGTGCCCCTGCGCCATCTTGCAAGACGTCTTTAAAACATGTGGCATAAATGAACACATGACACTCCTGGTGGCGTAATTCAATTTCACTTGTGGTCAGGACAAAATTCTTTTCAAAATGCGGTAAACAGTTTTGCCCAAGATTAGTCACTAAAATTTGCATCGTAGAAAATTAATTTTATTAACGAATATATTACCTAAATGATTGAGTTTTGCCAATAAAAATGATTTTGAATTATTACCTGGATCGATTACAAATTGTCAAATTAACCAATTGCAAACAAGCCAATCACGTGACTTGCTGTGAAAGATCATGCTAAGTTTGGTCGAAATTTTGAATGTTTCGCTGTTTAAAACACATTCAGGCCCCTTTTTTTACTTCGAAACATTTTCAGTTACCACCAGTGGTAGGATTTGAAATTCGTGAAATTTCGCCCGTGTTACTCAGTGTTACTTTGTAGTGACCTGTTATCGCGGGTACCAACCAATGAGGTTGAAGAGCTCACAAATGTACGGGGTACGTAAGTGGATTGGGCCAATTACAATTTAATTTGTGCCCGTGGGTGGTCGTTATGCCAACCATCTGGCCTGATTTGAAACGCGGAGTTTGCAAAAGTGCAGATAAAAATACCACACTTCTTTCCGCATTCCCGGGCATTTAAAAGTCGAATTTTTGTGGAAAAAACGGAAAAAAGTCAGGATTTTGACACAATCTTGAAAACCCATTGTGGTTGCTTGATGTGTGGATAACACCTAAGACGCGTCTTGTTGCCAAGGGACTAAAACACACGCAGATATGCGAAAACAGTCGGAAACACACATTTATGTCCCGTGGGTCGACACGATGAACCCATTTATCAAGACGAGAACCGCGTTTTTCTGAGGGAATCACGGAGATGTGGCATTAAGGCGTCGGCAGATGATGTTTTCCCACGTAATTCGATAAGGTCAATGCGAGAGCATTTTTCCATCGCAGGAAATAACACGATTATGGAGAAATTAACCTCCTCTGGATCTGAAAGCACCCTACAGAATAAGAAGGCGAAATCACAGTAATTTTCAAAAGTGGAGGCTCTGCATTTGCTGTTTCAAACAATTGTCCCCTGGAAAATGCGCGAGTTTTAACGCCAGAAAAAATTGCCAACAAAAGCGCTCGGTGGATAAATTAACCGTTGAAACCTTGCTAATTAATTTTGCAAACATTTTTCATGTATTTTGGAAAAAAATTGATTGGTTAGAATTCACATTGAGGAAGGAAAGGCGTGCTAAAAATCCCACACACGGTGAAGCGAATTGAATGCGATTTGTCGAACAGAACACACGACATCCATCTGTCCTATGTTTGTTGACTGCAAAACTAGTCATTAATGTCAGAAATACTGATTTTCTCGTAAGGCCATTGGTCCAATTGACATGGTGCAACTTTTTGAGCGAAATCAAATTAGCCAATGAAATAGACACAAGCATAGTGAATGTTGTGCACACAGATGCTCATCTCAACCACGCAATATGGTCAGGTATTTGGTTGACATAGTCAGAACGAAATTAACATAATTTAAAACCAATAACTTTTAGGTAACTAAAATTGCAACAATTTAGGTCTTCGGCCAGGTTTGAAGGAACAGCAGCAATCTTGACAATTTTTGGTGATTTAAACAAGCCTGAAAGCTTTACACTATCAATTGTAGCGTAGAGATGCAAGTCTTCTAGCAATTTAGAGGTCAAATGTAAGATTTTGACATCGGTTTAATCTAAGTAAATAAACCTATCGGAATTTTGTATTAGGTGATTTTGCAATGATCAAGTAGGTCAGTTGACGTATGTCTTCGATTGATTGGTCAAAATTCGATAAATTTAACTAACTTTGTGGATTTTGAATTGACCTAGATTTCAGTTGTAAGAACTGCTTACGCAATAGTGAATTTTTTGTGAGACTTCACGGCGTTGATATCTAAATGAAACTTTATTTTCCATGTGTACTAAACGTTAGTCTCATTTAACTACAAAAGCCACCTGCAAATTGTAAAAGCACCGCCATAATTCCCACGAATTTAAACAAACGCGTTCGGTGCGTAGGTATGCCCATGAGAACTGAAAAAGCCATATTCTGGCATACCCGCAGGCTATTTTTTTGCTAAAATTTTTCTTTACTGCCAGCTGAACCTGGTTACAGACGTAAGGAAACATTGGCCTCGCAAACCAGCCAATCAGAAGAGATTCACGACAAGTCGCATTGGCCAATGGCATGCGAGCTTATTTTATCGTCGGCATTGATTCACCTGAAAATTGCGCGCGTGCAGACATATGCGAAGTTGTTTAGTAGTTAACGCGTTGGACGTTGAAACGAGTAGAACTCAAGAAAACGAATGACAGAAGGCTAGAACTGGGACATTTCTGGTTTTTCTAACGCCAAAATTATCCCTACACCATGTTTGAGCGTTCTGACGACGCCATCTCGGGCAACAGGGTGGAAATTTCGAGTAACAAGGAGCCGATTCGACCACAAGAATCACCAATTATTGACAATGGTGAAGCAGACTTTGCCGAGGACCAGAGCATTGTCGATGATATGGGGGTACGTTGGGATCCCTTTTAATTGATTTTCAATAAGTCGTAACCCACTTGAGCGAAAATCAATCAGTTTGCAGAAGTCATTTAAAACAGAACACAAATTGTAATCGAGGTAAGGGCAACTTGCCATACACTACTAAAATCAGCCATTCATCTAAAACCGGTTAGACGTATTTTTTACCACAACCAATGAAATTGTTTAATTTTTTTGGCAAAGTCGCTGATTGGATGGCTTAGTTGAAGAGCACCTGTGACTGCATCCAATGTAATAATTTAGTTTATAAAAGACAAAAACGGTGTGAAAATAAGGGTAAAGTGAAATGCAGCATTTTAAACTGTTGTTTTATTGGACAGACAAAAATACCGACCAATGGGGCATCGTTGACCTTCACTGTGATGCAATTGACGCGGGGGTAGTCACGCGACGTGATTCCTTTGAAAATTAAGTGACCATTTACCATATTTCGAAACGGAAATTTAACAAAAACTTACGATTTGGTCTTTTTAATATATTTCGCAACTCAAATTCTTTCTGTCGTGAGAAATTTTTTCTTAAATTAAACGAGGAATGTCTTTAAAAAAAAACAAATTTGTCCGAAAGTTAATCTGTTCCTTAAACAAATCCATTTGTTTTAATAAAACGAAATTCTCTATTACTGCAGATTGTGTTTTTTTCTTAAACTGACGTTTTAACTGAATAAGTGCTGTAACGCAATACAAACTTTGTACCAACAACTAAAGTTTTAGCCACAAAATTTGCAGTCACCAGCAATAAAACTTTTTTTTAGCCCGATCAACTGCTATGTGAATTTTAGCATTTTAAAACATTATTTTTTGACGGAGGCGAAAGATTAGTGTTAAATGGACGTAAAATTGCCAAACTGCGCAGCAAGCCGATCCAAACGCTGGCATTCTAACTTGGCGCACGAGTCCACTTCGAAAACGGCCACATATCGTGTACATACTGCACTAAGAATGCTAACATGTGTGGCGTGTGTGTGTGTGTATGCAGCGATACCCAAAATCCAATTTTTTTCAACTAACTTTCTGAAATTCCGCGTCGTCTGTTAAACGACAGTGTTCATGGCAAAATCTCCAATCAGAATTTCCCACGGTTGGAGTGGAAAAAGTACGCATTCAATCGGTCATCATCATCATCATGAAGTTTGTTCAGAAATCAATATCATCCGTTGCTACATAATCTGAATTTCGAATTGTGCGCAATTTCTTCTAAATGCCAAGGGTACTTGATTTGTTTGCACTTCTTAGGTAATTTGTTTTAATTTGCCAATCGACTGCGCGCGCATTTCGGTCACGCTATGTTAAACTTATGCAGCCTCGCCCGCAATCGATTACCATAAAGACGAAATGAGCACAAAAATTTTGCGGAAATGGGAACATTACTGCTTCAATTTACCACCAGTAGACAGCAGTGCCGTAAAATATAATATATTTCGGAAATATTTGTCAGTACAACTGCCGCTGCATCGTGATTGGTTAGACGGACGTAGATTCGATCACATTGGTGATACTTTTACGTCCTTTGAAGGTCACAGTGAAAGGGTCACATCTTACCATGACATTGACAACCAAGATAGGTTTTCGTGATAGCAAATTTGAGGTTAGTAACTCGGAATCCAGATGAAAGAGATTAGAGCATTTCGCAACAAATAACCAGTAGCTTATGTGTGCCTTTTTTAAAATTTATAAATGAAATTTAAATTTTACTAGCTAGAATTCGTTAAAGTGACATTTGCAGACTTAATAAATATACTTAATGACAATGGAAGTCATTTCTGACTTTAAAAAATTCCCATAAATTACGAAAAAGGCGCCTGACTTTCTGGGTTTTTCTAAAATATCCTTTATTTATTTAAACAAAGCCCTAACCTTGATTACATTTGCAGAATTTTTTTAATGTCAAAAATTATCAACTTATTTGCAGATTTTATGCCTTCAATTTTATTTAGTTCAATGGGGCAGATTTCGGTGACAAAAATTTTGACTTTCAACGAAAATTGTGACAAGGAGTAATTAATTATCTTGACTTTTGGTTTTCACTTAAAACAAAATTCAGCAAGATTCATCTATGTGGTTTTTTTTAAAAGAACCAAATTTGTTCCTGCAAATTTTTCGAAATAAAAAAGGTAGTAAAAATTGATGGCATAATTTATAAAACATGATTTTGTTTTAAAAAACACATTTTTCAACAATTTTTTAACCAATCATATTGAAAATAAACATTTTGCCTGTTTTACTAGATGAATGAATTTTTTTCACATTTTTAAGGTTAATATATGCGCCTTAAAAATCATTCAGTTAATGACGATGAATTTTGCACGAACCGAAGCACAGTGCAGAAGAGATTTTCAAGTCAGAGGTGACATAAAATATTTTGCTAGCCTAATTTTTCTTAAATAAAATTAACCTAACATCTAAAATTATGTTCGAATGTTAATGGGTCTAACTTTAAACATAATGCTACTTTGAATTCGTTGCTTTGGCAAATCGGCTGCTAATTTTGACCAAATTTGTACCAATTTTTCAGCTTTTTTTCCAGCACGAATGACGTCGCTCTGAGGCAAAAGAGTTTTTAGATCGGTGAGAAAGTGGAACTAAGTCTTTCGCTATTTAGAATTAAAATGCAATGTGGTGGGTTCATGTCTGATGGGTTTGCCGCGTGTGGAAGAACACTCCATCCCGAGTTCAAGAGGGTCCTCTGAGTCGCAAAGCGAGCACCGTGGGGTGGCGTGAAGGGTCCAGCGTTTAACGTGCCTGCTTCTCTGCCCAGTAAATGGCCTTTTCTGATCCCATTCCTCGCCCTGTTTGTCCAATTCCCGGCTGTAGTGTTCCGCAGTCACCGTCTGACGACCAGATTCCAGGTGTTCGCCACCAGATACACAGAAGAACCTTCTTCTTCAACAAGTGGATGTCCTGTTTCGGCGTCGATGTAGTGGGCAGCCTTGGATTACCGTAATAACCGTCACAATTCCCACAAGAAGCCCTATTTCCCTGTTGGTGGGCAATTTACGGAAGGCATGTGTGCGTGTGTTGACGTAGGAGGCTGTTTTTGGTCCACACATGTAGAGGGAATTCTTGATTTTTTTACCACTTGATGGCGCAAACGCTGTTTTTGTGACTCCCAACAGATCGCCAAGCTTTTGATGCGTTCGCTAGCACTTGCATAACCTTCAGACCTATGAGGCTGCCTGGCAAATCACCAACAATAGCACATTTCCTCAGATACGGCGTCGGGTCCAACTCTGCCATCCTGAGAGGTGATGGAGCTCGCGTAGACTTGCTGTTCGGTGTTCTCCAGCCATGTCTCCTGTCATTACAAAACTACCAAAGATCACGAAAATATGTCTACTTTAAATATATTAGTAGCCTGAATAAAAAAGAAAATCTGGACAAATTAAGTCATGCAACTATACCTTTGTGCTGAGAATTCAGCATTCCTAGTGCTGTATTTTCCTAAGGCATCTACAAGTGATATTCTTGGTTATTGCTCATATTTATACACACCTACTGTAAAGTCATATATCCCGCGTTTTTTTGATTGGTCCTTTCAACCTTGAGACCAGGATACCTCTTATTTGCCCTCATTGGGTATCGATTATGTGTAAGGGGAATCGCTACATTTTGTGATAATACTTGCAATATTTTTTCCCATTTATTTAAATCAAGTTAAACAATTATTTGACGATGATATTGATAATAATAATAATAGCAATGGATGAATTAATAGGATACAACTTAAATAATACCTAAGCAGATGCGAAAAATTAAATTTTTATTTGAATCTAAATTTACCACCATTTGGATAAATATGCTTCGATGCAAACGTCCGAAAAAATGCCGAATAATATTATCGAATTTTCGAACACACTAATCTGAACCGATATTGCAATTATCGATTGTCTGAATGCCTGCAGCCTTTCCAACCAACCAAAGTATTATGGTGTTGACATTTAGGTGATATCAGATTACTGCGCCGGGAACAAAGTCACTGTTAGAGGCAACACGTTGTACCTTTTTTTAAAAAAACAATTTTGGATGCAGAACCATCCTGAGATAAAAAGTGCCTGTTTGTTTATCCGTAAAAAAGCAAACTGAAAAACGTTGACTTCAATAATTACGGAAGTGGTAATTCAGGTAAATACATTTGTGGTGAGGATTAGATTTCTTGAAATATAACATTTCTACTTATATTTACTAGTAGTAATATTTTTATTAGGTCAAAATGAAATAGTTCTAACTGTACGTTAGCATTTGCAGACAGGTATTTGAGGAAATATGTCAAATTAGCTTATCTCACCTCCAATCAGTTTGATTGGTAAATGTAAGCAGCGCATGGACCTGCGATGTCTTGCTATACCATGATTTGCCAACTTTTATTTATGTTAATTTTATTTAATGTATTAAATTTCTAAATACGACAATATTAAACGACCCTGAAAACAAGGTACATGTAGCCCATTTTTCTGTAAAGGAATAAAAGAATGTTTCCCTATTTTTTGATGATTTTAACTATTTATTTGAACTACTTGATTGATCAATTGCTCATCTCCATGATTTTTTTATTTAAATTTGTTTAAATGGAAATAATAAACCTATTCAACCTATTTACCCAATAGCCATTTTTCTGCTAATTGATCTCTGGAAGGTAAAAGCATTTACGAATATTTAATTTAGTGTTAAATATGTCGATAAATTTTAGTCTTAGACACACGGAAACATAAAACTAAAACTTCGGAACGCTGATTTAGTCAAAGTAGCAACTTGCACATCGATTTAGACATTTTTTGAATAATGCCAATTATGGTCTAAAATTTTATTCGAAGTACATTTGTATGCAAAAAACTAAAATATTCCCTTAACTTTCTGGATATTTAGACAACGTGATATGAAGCTTACTGTTACAAATAAACCAGCACAAGTAAATATTGGCTAGTAGTAGGAACGCTGCAGTAGCCTTAGCGATGGAAGTCAACTCATGAATTTAAAAAAAAGATGCTGCCTTAGGGCATGTATCCTCATCACTTTTGTTCAGATTAAGGGGAATAAAAAAAGAATTACATTAATTTTAGTGGCTTCAAGTTAGTATTCCTTATATATTTTTAGTATAATGGGGGCTCATCTCCAAATTAATGAAGATATTAACGATGATAAGATTTGGGCATTTTTAAAGTAACTGAACATGTCGCATGTCACTGATTTCCTCGATGTTTTAGGCAACGATGATACTATTTTAAAGTACACCTTCAGAAATAATTTATTAATACATCCAACCGCCAACCATATTTGAATTGCTGGAAGGCAGTTGGATAAATTAGTTCTCCAATGAAAATGCTAGATAACGACCTTGACAATAGATGCGTCCGCGGCAATTTAAACATTCATGTTTGGTACATTATTTAAACATGTATGGTGTTAGAGGCGTCGATTTAAGGCAATCTATGCCAGTGACAACAACTTGCATTAACAATAACCAATGCAAAACAGAAAACTGTTTGCTAGCTGAAGAGGCATTGTCGGACGATGATTCCTGCTTTACTCGTTTGTTTAATACCACTTTTAAGTGTTACGATGACAAAGTGGGTTACATTTTTAAAATTTTCGCCTTATTGATATTTATAATCTTTTGTTTTGATTTTTTAATTTTAATTTAACTTTTACGTTTATTTTACCATTAGATGAAGTCATCGTCCCAAGTAGCAAAGCATAACTGGAAGGGATTGGTGTTGGCCTTACTTGTGATTACGGTCATATCGTCGCTCATCGTCTTGGCATGTTTTCTCACCTACGATTGTAAGTTGCATTAGTCGCTCTTGCCCAATTTTTAATTGTTCAACACTACTTTTATTTAGATAAAACCGAGATATCCTACGGACTTCCATTAACTCTGGATGATATATATATGCTCAACAATCTACTAAACCGCCCAAGTGCTCAATTTTCAAATGGTAATGTGACCGTTGCATTGGCTGCTTGCGTTTCGAAAATGTTTCTTCCTAAATTCCTTTTTTTGCATTTTCTTCAGACAAATTCGTATACGTGTCAGCGAACGGCTCCTTGTTAGCAATTGATCTCAAAACTCACAAAACCAAAGTCTTGCTGTCGAGTGCACAGATTCGCGAGGTACGTTCTGCTCAATCTGTCGCCATTTTCAATAATTCACAAGTGACTGATTGAGGCTACCAGTCCGTGCTGTTTTTTTGTTTTTTTTTTCCAGAAAGAACACTTCATGGGGTGTTCTGGTGTGTCAGATGACACAAATGCACTACTACTGCGTTATGTGCATGTTCCGGTGAGTAATCATTTGTGGACTTTAAAATATCAATACATTGTTTTTCATTTATTCATTTTAGATTTATCGAAAAAGCCATTATTCCCAATATCAGGCTATTTTACTTTCAAAGTAAGAACCGCTGTGTGCCCATTTAGTCATTGTGTTAGTCAAATATTTTCTGTTCACTCGTCTTTTTTAATGTTTGCATTCTTTTGATGTAAAAACACGAATTTTTATTGTCTGCAAGTTTGAAAATAATGGCTTGTGTGCATTAAACGTTTTTGGTGTCCCATTGTGCATGAATTGCACATTTACGCGCTAACTTTAAAGTTTACTGTCACGTCGATTTTTAGATAATTCGCTAACTAAAATAACATTTTAAAATTGTGAGATAAAACCGAGTGCGAAAATTTCTTCTAGGGCCAAAGCTTTTGTATTTTTCAAATTAAATTAAAACATTTATTTACGTAAATAAACCCTGAATTCACTCTAGTCCACGGCATTTCATAACGCAACTATTGTTGCGTTACTGGTAAGCAGATGTTGGAATTTTCTAGTGTCCTAGTCGTAGTGGGAGCAGTTATCTGCGACATTGTGGATTTGCGGCAAACTGAATGCATTATGTTGCATTGTGGTTTGTTGCTTGTATGATCTCCCAAGTGTCACAGATCAAGGTCACGAGCAATCTGGTGAATGGTCCCGTTATTGGCTAATTCTGGCGGCAACTTCCAGGGTCCTGTGCTTGCCTCCCTTTTTACCAATCACGATAAACAACACACTTTGTGAAGCCTTCCGTGTGTCTATCTATCGGTTTCTAATTGATATGTCTAGCTGTTTAGCCCTGCTCGATTTATAACAAAATATTTCAAAATCTACCACAATGCCGCATTCTTTTGCGTATCTTTCAGTGACCAACATCCACGAGTTCTGCAACGAATTGATATCGCACCCGACCTAGAGTCGGCCGACCATACATTTCTCAATCATGCTGAATTATCCCCGAATTCCGAAGCACTGGTAAGCAACAATTGTGAATTCCAGCGGTCGCGATAACACATACTACCCCAGTTTGTGTCATTGTGATGTCCCACATGCTGGACTCATTAAAGTTTCCACAATTAAATCCGAATGTTCGTTTAAAACGCTACATTTGGAAGAACAACATTTCAAAAGCTCTGGCATTTAGTTGATTTAAGCGCTGTGCTAACCGCTAGGGAAATGAGTGAACAAGAATAACTTGTTACAACCAAATGAGTGTTCCCATTGGATAACTCAAACCTCGGCTGAAAATCAATTCTTATTAGTTTGTAGTTCAGTTGTAGCAGTAATAATCCTAACCATGTTGAAGTCCCGTTGTTTGATGTAGCACCAAACACATGGTTTTTTCATTTATTTGTTCAATATTATTCTGTGGATTTGCAGTAGTCATGGCATTGTTTGTAATTTTTTCCAGGCTTTCGTCTACAACGATCGAATTTTTTGCCAAAAGCATCCATTCAACCAATCCACGGCCAACAAACCCGTTGATTTGACAACTTCGATTTACAAGGAGAATGTTCGCTACGGTATTGCTGGATTTCTCTATGAAGGTAAACACCGATGTGATTCGCTTATCATTTCGCATGGTTTTGTTTAAATCGGCACCTGGTCGTGGGATCTGTGTGTCATCTCGCATCTCTAATTTATTGCTGCTCATGGATGGTGTCACGTGGACTCACTAGACAGCCGAAACACTGTCCAACTATTCTTGCGTCACACCCATTTCGCCTGCAAGCTGCCGACAGGGATGAGGTGAAAAGAATAATCAATTGAGCGAGAATCACTGCTTGCTAAATTGGCAATTCACTAAAACAAACACTGCTTTGTTTGTTTAAAGTCAAACACCTCAGTTCTACGAAGTCAACTTTAGTTGTCCTGACCAACAGGCCTACGAGTCACATCATTTTGTGTGCGTTTAAGACGTCTTCTATTTACTTTCAAGGTGGCGCGATTTTTTGTTTAAACTGTTGCGTGTTTATTGATGATTTTCTTGCATTTGGTTAAAACTTTTTTCTTTCAAAAACACGTTTGTTTTTAGTTTTTTTTTAAATTTTACTTTACTGCTGACATGTAACCTTCTTTTTTTCAAATGCAAGATTCAAAACTTTGGCGAGGTTTGGTACATGAGTGAAACTAATGTCGCTGCTTAGTGTAAATACGTAGTTTCAAATTTTCGAAATTTCGGTACATTTGCAGTGTGCTAAGTGTAATCTATCAAGTTCCTTTCTTAGCCAATCGCATTCGAGTTTTTCAGTGTGCTAAGTGTAATTTATCGATTTCCTTTCCTAGCCAATTGCATTCGAGTAACTTAATGTGCTAACTAATTTATCGATTTCCTTTCTTAGCTAATCGCATTCGAGTAGCTTAATATGCTAACTGTAATTTATCGATTTCTCTTTTTAGCCAATCTCATTCGAGTAGCTCAGAGTGCTAAGTGTAATTTATCGATTTCCGTTCTTGGCCAATCGCATTCGAGTAGTTCTTTCCCCTCCAGACAATCGCGTTGTTTTTATCGACAACTCGGCTTGTGTCAAGGTTACCGATCGTAGTCCTTACATCCATGGTGATATTACACCAAACTGTCAAGCTGTGTGCGTATTACTAATACCAAAAACGCAGAAGACTGCTCACCGAGTTATCAAATTTAAATATTCATTTTCCAATTAGCCTTTCGCTGCTTGTTTAGGTGGGTATTTAAGCGCTTTGATGTTCCTAAGGATCAAATTTAAAGTTTATGTGAACCCGGCCAATTCAAACGAGGTTAAACTGTTTGTTCAGAAAAAAAAACACATCATTTGATTGTCAAATCCATCACAATTTGTAATCCGCGTCAGTAATAAGCAACACCTCGGTTGATTAAATATGGTGCTGTGTAATTGCCTATTCTACCCTTCAAAAAACTTGATGACAGCGAAAAAACGGCTTTTAGCAAAAACCTCTTATGTGATGATTAATTGGGCGTTACTCTATTATAACCGGGCACGTTTTTTCGCTCCACACGTCCCTTGTAGTGGCATTTGGTGTGTGAATGGAAGGGTAGGTTGATTTAAAATCGATTTTCTTCACTGCATTTAAAGTCACGCGTAGCCTGGATATTTGAACTTATTGAATATTCCTCAAAGACCAATCGTGTGTCGATTGGGTATTGGCTTGAAATCTAACCAATCAGATTTAAGTTCAATGGTTCATGCTGTAGCGTGTTTTCGCCAAACAAATTGTCACTGAAGATGACAAGCAGCATTCAAATTAGCAATCGAAGCGATATTGCTAAAATTGCTAATTTTTTGAGTTAATTTTTTACCCTAAATTTGCGTTTAGAGGAAATAATTGGAGTTAGTCAGACATTTTGGTGGAGTCCTGGCGGCAGACATCTTGCCTTCACCGCGATTGACGAATCAAACGTAACGAAGGGCTACACAATGTCATTTGGGACCCAGGACGCCCCGGGACCACGCTTGATGCACCACAGATACCCCTTGGTGCGTTACCGTGTCCTAATTTTTGCAGAAATTGCCAATACTACTGATGAAATCAATGTTAGTAGCTGGAAGAACGTGCGCTAATTAATGCTCTTTGTCTCCTAGACTGTTGAATTGGCGACAAGAGACAGGGGTGTATTGTGTGTAAATTTGACTAGCCCATTGTTTGAAACACTTCCGGTGTACTAAAACAATTGATTACCAGGAAACGATGGATTCTAGGGGTTTGGCTTAGACTTGTCATGTCCACTGATTGCAAAAAAGTCGGCTTAAATGTGTCAAGAAGTTTGAATATTGCGCTGCAATTTCTTATTGGTGACTGGATTGTGAATATTTTTCATCCAATCAGTGTCTAGCGTGCGAAGACTGCAAATTACGCGTGACGAAACGAAACGCTGTGGGTATCTAGAAAAACAGGATTTTGATCTTGATTTTTAAAAGCTAAGTCATTTAACATCTTACCATTTAGGACACTCATATTTGGTTGCTAACTTTCTACGTGTTCTTCTGTTCGTGCATAATTGAATTTACCTCCTTTTCTGGTGACCAATCAAGAAGCGCATTTTTATTCCCCACTTCGCTAAACGAAAAGGCAAGAATTCAAACTTAATTATATGCTTGCTCATTTTACAGGCTGCTGAAACGAATCCTTACAATTTGCCCTACCTCACAATCTACATTTACTCCCTAACCACAGATGAGCTTCATGCCTACGCCCGACCAATGGGATTGCCTGGGTACGTTGAGTTAACAATGTCCATCGTTTCGACCAATAGCATTCAGCGATTAGGCCATTGGTCATTCGTTTGCCCAATCAGCTGTTAACTTTTGCCCTATAGCTGCTATCTAGTTAACGTATAGCGTCTTTTGGATTGGCGTTGTTATTGGTGTTTAAATTGATGTCGGCTGCTACAATCAAGCTGACCTTGAAATTAAAAGCACCAGACGGAATTTCAAACCATCGAGTTGTGTTGGCGCGACTGTTGTAATTTCCCTTGACAGGAATGCACATTTGACCTTCTTTAAGTGGATTAGTGATGATGAATTCCTGTGCGGGTGGGTGTCTCGGAAATGGGACAAGTCATGGATCGTTCTTGGTGAAGTTCCGACCAAGTCGATGCGCGTGGTGAGTCTACTGACATCATTTTAAATTTTGACAACATTAACTTGTGGCAAGTGAGCTGTTCTTATGCCTGAATCCCCGGTAGTTGTCATTTCAGGGTGCAAATCTAGGACGCTGGTGACTGTCTTACATCTAGAGATCTCAAACTTTGCGTGTTCTGCCTCGTAGTTGTGTCAGGACATTCCTTAATTAACACGTTTCCTTCGCTATTTCAAAAATCCTGTTTTACTCATTGTGTTTCAGTAGCACTTTTTTAATTTAAAGATATATCATGAACGTGCTCGATTTGGATGGATCAACCTTGTAAGCACTTTGTAACTCGCTTTACTTTCTATTAATTTTTGGCATTTATATTGTTCTATTCTATCTTTTTTCAGTTAGTAGTATCTGCGTGACAATTTTTATCTATTTTTTTTAATGTAAAGCCGAACCAGCTTCTGCAAATGCCAATAGTGGAACCAGATAGGCAGTCGATCCTAACAGTCATCCCGAATTACTATAGCAACCAGGTGTATCGGGGAATAGTGCGATTGTATCTGGTAAGTCTTTTGGCTAATGAGATCAGCAAATTTAGTAGCCAATTATAATGTTTCTTGAAGCCCATTGGTTGGTTTGTCCGATCTCTACACCTATCAATAGAGTACATTGACTATGCCTTTTTTACACCCAGAACATATCGCGATCAACAACTGCTCAATATCCCCAATGGGTGCATACGCCAGATTATGATGTGAGAGACATTCTCTATGCATTTGGCGGCAACGAGATTCTTTACGCGTCCAGCGGTCCAGACTCCAAAGAAATGCACGTATTTATGTAAGCTTTGACGAATATATCAAGCTACTGATTAACACTCAGTAGGTAATATTGTACCAACTTGAAACGTTACAGTTCAAGAGGAATTACGGAAGCGACGTGTCTGACCTGTGGTGATCCCAACTGCACATACAACGTCGCCAAGGTCTCGAAGGATGGTCGGACGCTTTTTGTTGAATGTCTGGGTCCAAGTCCTCTCACTTACACTCTAAAAGTACTCGTCAGAAATAACACTGTTGCCAACAATGGTAAGTTCGCCACCATCAACCCCACACGTCTCTTTCTCTCGACTGCATAGGCTATGCTCTTTCTCTCCTATTTGCAGGCCCTGCTTACTACTTAAAGACTATTTCAGTAGTCTCAAACAACACGGAGTTCAAGGAGATTGTTGCCACAAAAGCCATGGCCGTCACGAAGTACCGAAATGTAACGTTAAGGAAGGGGACAAAGCAGGAGGTGACTCTTCAAGCCAAATTCATTCAACCACCGGAATTGATAGAATCACACATCATACAATACCCGGTACTATTTGATACGTAAGTAGTCAGTATTTTTTGGGATCACAAGTATGCGTTTTTACTGTTTTAACTCTTCTCCAGGTACGGAGGGCCGTCAACACAGCTTGTCAGCACAAAATTCCGCCTCGACTGGCAAACCTACCTCGTGACACGCTTTAAATTTGTCGCCATATCGATCGACGGACGTGGAACTGCCAGCAGAGGAAAGATATTTGAAAATGCCATCTACAGAAACTTTGGTGTTGTTGAGGTTCAAGATCAAATGGATGGATATAGGTAAGGCCCCTGACGAACTCGGTGTTTGATTTGCTACTTTGCAATTGGCGCCGCTTGTCAGCACCAATCAGACAAGCCGATTTTTAGCCAATTACGTCAGTGGACTGACGCAGCTCAATTAACTACCCGTTTTTCAGGCAAATTCTTGAAGACCACAAATTTCTCAACAAATCAGCAATATGTACTTTTGGATGGGTAAGTCCGTGTTCATCAGAAGCTTGCATGTTGCTTCTTGGTGTGATTGTGTCAACTAAGCAACCATAATTTTCATTTCAGTCCTACGGCGGATTCACTGTGGCCAGTATTTTGGGACATGCCGATAACGATTTTATAAATTGCGGTGTTGCAGTCGCCCCTGTAAGCGACTTCGGACTATACGGTAGGTGGTACGTCTCTTCTCAAACCAGCCAATCACATCCCGCCTGCGTGTTGTTTACAGTTCGCATACTGCCTCAAGGTCATCCATCAGTGTCAGTATCATGACAAACATTTGCCCACACTAGACAGGGGAGTATATTTCGTCGTGGCACCGCAGTTTAATTGAAATTAGCAAATTCAAGTCAATTCCACAAATGGGATATTTTTTTTTTCAAATCGACAATAAAAATGCTTTCTGTTGTAGACTCGGCTTACACGGAAAAATACTTGGGACTCTATTCCGAAAACGCCCATGAATACAAGGTGAGTTTAGCTTATTTAAACAAAAAGTTGAAAAATTTGTAATTAGTTACCGCGTGGTGACCTACTTTTCCATCTTACAGTTGTTTAAACAGGCTATTTCTTGTTTTAAACAGCGAACACAAGTTGGACGCTTGGCGCGAAATTTCAAAAACAAGGACTTCCTAATCATTCATGGCATGACTGATGGTAAGCTATAACACCTTGAATGCATTTCGAATAAAACCGGAGCATACGTAAGCAGTATTCACCTTAAAATTTTCTCTTTAGACAACGTATACCTGATTCATTCGGCGCTTCTAATCACCGAACTGCTTAAACATGGGGTGTATTTTGACATGATGGTAAGTTGTGACGCCATTGGTTCGCGCTGAGCTGTGGATCCGCCAGTCTAGTGAATTTCAGGTGACAATGGTTATCAATGTTCTCTGATGGCCTAACAACTTTTTTTGCATCTCTTCTTGTGTAGTTTTATCCAGACGACAATCACTTCCTCATAAATTCTCACGTCCGTCCGCATTTGTGGCGGAAACTGATCACATTCATAGTTGACAGCGTAAACAAGACGTCCATTCGCCACCGTCACAGTTTTGATGAGATGTGATCACCACTCGGCCCGCGTGTGCACAATCGACCAATCAAAGCACGCACCGACATCCAGCCAATCATTCTGGACACTTCGAAACTTGCCTCGTGGTTTCTAACTTCGCAACTTTGTGCATATTTTTTTTTATTCCCTACCCAATTCTCTCTTTCTCCTCTACGTATCGACACAAGTTAGCCTCCTTGACATCGACACCACCCGGATTTGGTACATGGATGATGTTGTAGCGAAACTTCCATGAAATTCTTCATATACAGCTGATGGTTTTGAGATTAATATTATGCAAATAAACAACGACAGCAGAAAACACTTAATCTTGTCACGATGCTCAGTTGATTTGTTAAAAATACTTATTTAAACTACTCGTTTTTGAGAAAATTCAGGGAAAAGTACATTTTGACAAGTTAGATCATGATCCTTACATGTTCATCAAGATGATTTCAGTTCAGGCCGAAACGTACAAGTGCATTAGAAATGCAAATCGCGCCACACGCGTCAACCAATCAAATGCCCGAGTTGTATTCCCACTTGCACACACACACACAGCAAACAGCTGATTCGTTATCGATTTTCCGCATCGCAAGCGCATTTAAACAATACTGGGCTGTAAGCATGTCTGCTGGCACGGATAAATGTGACCTCGAAAAGGCGGAAAATCCCTACGCGTTGGGCAACGCCAAGGAAGTCCCCTTGTCCTCGGCGTTTCCGGCATTCACTGCTCTCAACAGACGTAGACGTGTAACTTGCAAATCCTGCCAGCTGCCTATTGGCTACGTAGGGATGGATATGTGCCATATCGATGCTGATCTCCCGGTGACAGCAATCGAATCGAAAGTCAGCTCAGTCGAAGATCTACTGAGCTCGTTTTGTATCGAAACCCCAATGAACGTGAGCCTGCGTCGTGGAGCCAAACGATGCGATGGACTAGAAGTTCCACCCACCACTTTCGTCGTGGAGGCTTCCAAGATGAACTATTGCGAAGCCGACGAGATCATCTGCGATGGATGTGGAGCCTGTCTCGGAGCCCGAATTGCCGATTTTGTGGAGAAAAAAGATGGAGACGAAGGTGACTGGCGTGATGTTGACTGTGGCGTTGTGCCGAAACGCGAGAAACGCTCGTGGTGGTTCAGCTTCTCAAAGGACAACGTGGACATCGAACCGCTGTTTGGCTTGGTCGGCATGGAGGAACTCTCGTTGTGGTATTGCGGTGGGGAACGGTACTTTCACGAGTTTGTTCCAATCGAGGAGTCGGATGAGTACTCCAGCAATTCAGACACCTGGTTTAAACCCTGTGACAGAATTGAGCATCACAGCGAACTTGACAAGGAGGTCGCGAACGAACCATGGCCTCTGTTCTACCAAGACCTCGTCAGGGCTTCTGAACTTCCAGAGGGTACACTGGGCCACCTTAGCGGCATTGAACTGGCCCAGAGGGACACGGCTGACGCCTTTGAGCGAATGAACTTAACTAGACTCGTGGCAGACGACTCAGTCCTCACATTAAAAGAGTGCTGCTCCGATAACGACAATGTTGACGGCGTCGACGACGTAAAATAAAGGTTTGTACTTGGGTCTTGTTCTGAAATGTGAGCTCAACCTACATCACAAAGGAGGAGTACTTAATTACGTCGATAATTGGTATCAAATTATCGATTACAAAACACTAGTCAAAATGACTCTACGACCACATTTTTAATAACTCTTAGGTTGAATTATTCAACAATCCAAACAGCCCAAGCTGTCTATTTTCCTTTAAAGCAGAAAAACAATAAATTTTGGCGACATGTAGGTCTATAATTATGTTCTAGCGAGCGTTTTAGAACTCTGGCCAAGCCATCAAGCGCCGACTGTATCATCGTACTCACGCAAATGTCATGTGCACTTGTTGCCAATGGCTAGTTGTCAAAATTCAGTTCGTCCGCGTACTTAGAGACGCTAAGCCAACCAATCAGAGACAAGCCCTATTCAAATGACAAACACCGTGAATCCGCCCAGAAATTGACAATATTTTGTCTAAGAGAATTACTCTTCGGGAACTTAGTTGTTGGTTGTTTAAATCGCAGCCGTTTTTTATTCTCATTGGCTACTGTCATTTTGACGCGTGGTTTACTTGGGTTCTCGTGTTTCCGACGAGTAATAGTCCAAATCTATATCCTATTTTGATTCAGTGACAAATTTTAAGCGTTTAAAGGCATCGCAGATACAAAATTTTATCGGGAAATTTGATTACTTTTCCATGCGGTCAATTCTGTGTCACAATCAAAAAACCCTAACTTCTGATTGGCTGCCCACGTTTGTATGTTGATTCTCATTCGCCAAGTCCTCAAACTAGTCAACAGTCAATTTTTAGAGAAAATATCGATTTTCGTTAGAAATCAAATATTTTCACTGCCAAGAGGTAAACATGGTTTGGGGATAAATTCACGCTGTGGTTTTAAAGAACATTTTCCCTTTCATTCAGAAACCGGATGTGATGACTATTTGACGCCTGATTGGACAATAGCACTTGGCACTTGTCCAATCAAATCACATCCGGTGTTTTTTTTTGGGGGGGGGCGTTGTGCAATTCTCCACGAAGAATGATGAATATGTGGCGTGTAGAAGGAGACCGGGAAAAACCAACCGGAAACACTGATCGTCCAGATTGCATTCCGAAACGCAAAATTCGTTGCTTGGCTACGCCTTCAGGCACGACGTCTCCACATTGCATCCTGTTTCACGTGATATAAATGTCACAGGAAAGTAGCATTTTCAAGAATCAGAAAACCGCCACGTTTAAAGGCAACTCTTAGGATTTTTTTGGAAAATTGCTCAACTGAATTGCGATCTCTAGCAGACACGAGAAATGCGCAGTTGTTTAAACGTTTGTGTACAATGAGGCGGCATTTACGAATCGAGCTTCTTAACTTTAAATTGTAAGCGATGATTTTTGCGCATCTGCGCACATTAAATTACTCGCCGATTTTGCAGTGTCGACAAACCTCAAACGGCCGAGGTCACTGACCCCTCGACCGTGTAGAAATTTTAAACTAATTTATCAAATTTGATGAGTCCCTCTGTTCAATAAAACAGCTTCCGGAGTCGAGGTTTCTTCGCTAAGCAACTGATAGACCACCCGTATTTTTTTTGGCGCGGCTTTCAAATAAGCCGACCGATTTTTTCAAGGCCACAACGTGAGTACTTGACAGGAAGAATATTAGAAAGCGGATTTTTTTAAATGTGGTGTATTTCTTCAGAAATGCGCTTGATTTTTCTACATTTGGCATTAAATATCATCTTGACTACGGTAAAATTCTTCCTTTTGAATCGTGCTTTTTAGTAAGGCAATGCAAATAGGGCTTTGTGAGTTGTCTTTTCAAGTCATAATGTACTTATCATATACGAGGCCTAGCTGTATTGGTACTCTTTCAAGGCCAAACAGGGTGTGTAAAGGACAAATTTGATTGGTGTTCCTTCTCTGCCAATCAAAACAAGCGCCCGATGACCCTTTAAAGGCGCTGATTGGTTAGATCGAAGTCAGACAGACATCATACAAATGCACTAAATTCACCATTTTTTTCCAAATAAATGGTTAACAAACCTTTTAATTAACCATTTCAAATTGCAAAAACCTTAATCGAATTTAGAAATGTAGACGCTGCACATTGTGATTGGCTGGCTATAGCTCCATTTATGATCGCGAAAACCACTTGTCATTTCCGGTTACACATTCAAACAACTTCCACGCTAAAAGCTGTTCTTAGGCATTCGACGAAATGACCTTTTGCCATAAAAAAAAGTGAGGAGGTCGCAAATTTTGTACAGGGATATATTTGCGTTGAAAACCTTGGGTTCATGACGCCAGACAGCCGTCAGTGGATGCCGGTAACAAGCTGATGGCTGCTAGGGCGACCGCTAGAAACGCTGCTGCTTCGAAGGAGAGTTCTCGCTGCCAGGCTCACCCGCGATCCGGTGGATTCCACAGACGAAACTCGCAGCTTCATTGGCTGCCCGGAGGGTGTGCGTCTTTCCGGTGGGGCTCTGTACGTGCCGAGGGGGCTGCGTCGTCGCTGAACCCAGTCTTCGATTTTCTGGCAGTGCAAAATGTACACAAAGACATCGCTTTCCTTGCAAAACACATTCTTAAACCCTTAACTATTCAATACTTTGCCCTTAAAACATTGTTTTCCCACGCCATTTGTCTCTTTTTCTTCGAAATTTGGCTGTTGTGACCTGCCGTTTAGTGCAGGCGAGAAAAATCGATGAAGAGCCTTGATTGGTCACGGCCCCTCGTTTCACGATTGGCTAATGCTTGGCGGGAATTCAAATAGGTGTGCGTCATCGTAAGCTCGTCAATCAATTAACTGAGAAAAAAATAAAATAAAATATGGAGTTTTGAATGCAAAAAGGGGTTCCTAACCTCGTAAAGTCGAGTCGGAAGCGCAGTAATTAGGCCTCCTCCGACAATCAGCACGGTGCTCGTGATTCGAACCTTGTCAAAGTAGGATAGATCGCCTCTCCAGTAAATATCATGACCTCAAATTAACAAAAAAACCAGCCAATAATCTTGGTTCTTAACATTAGTGACCTTTAAAACAATCTGCCAGCGTCAGTGCTGAGTGCTTGCAGGCGACGATGCGCTGCATTTTATGTGAATGCAAATATCATAAAATCAAATGAATTCGGACCAATCAAAATTACTCCCGCGTGATTGGACAGAGTGGCTGATCATTAAACGCTGCGTTTGATCACGATTTTCCAGACTAAACAAAATGCGTTTTTTTTAAGAACTGGAATAATGGATTGTGACTTCAAAGCGAACTACATACAACAAGAAGTGGGACAAGAAATGATCTTTTGTGGCTGCCTACATTATCAGCCAATGAGAGTTCTACTGTGGTGGCAGTTAGTGCAAAGACTAGTTAATCACAAAAACATCTAATTCGATTGTCACGAGAAAAAAACAATGATTTTCAGAATCATTCCATGATTACACTACTAAGCAGTGCAAACTACAATTCCACGTTCACCAATTCTACCAAAATGAACACATCATAGATATGATAGCTGAATCTGCTAAAACGTACCAGTTTCGACCAATCAGGTTCTTTTAAAATTGGCGAAATCAGCCAATTACAGGAATCCTATCCATCACATGAGACTAGTTATTGTTATTTGCAAAACTTATGTCTTACCTACGGCCACAAGAAATATTCCGAGAATTTCCAGACGAAAAAGGGCGTTCCCATTGGCTAGAAGGGACAGTTCGTGGAGGATGAGGTTGCCTAAAGAGCATCAATGAAAACGCTGCTAGGTGAACGAGCCAAGAAATAGGTAGATTTTGTTCCTTACCAAGATCAGCGTCATTATGAACCTCAGGGAAACGCATTTCAAATACGTAAGCGTTTCGAATAAATTGGTGACCAATCATCGCTAACCTGCAGGCATTACTTACACCTGTTCGTTGCCAAGAGACAGTGCAAGCCTCCCCACTCACCTCCTGCAGACAACGCCACAACGAGAAACGGAAGCCAGGGAAATTTGGACCAGACAATCGGTTCAAGGGAAGACAGGACGGAGGTGCACACGAACAGAGGCCACGTTAGAAGCGAGTGCGTCAACCCTGCGTAAAACAGCAAAGGGCCAATCATGTGATAGAGAAGTCACGTGATGTCGACACACGGAGCCTCAAACACTCACCCAGGCATCCGTAGAATGCTGTCGTTCGCGGCATTGTTGGGTCTTTGATAAGATTTCGCCTGACTGTCTGAAATCGCACACATCATCTACATCATCATCATCCAACTTCATTTCATCCAATAAGAAGCCACTACAGGTATCGACTTCAAGGTCAAGCGGTGCTGATTAGATAACAATGTCTGTTGATAAGGCTCGCAAGTTTAAATCGACTTGGGTCTTTCGCTTTCCTGTGTTCAAGCAGCTTCAATCACGAATGTTAAGCCAACCAATCATTTTGAAGGCAAGTCAAGGTCATGGAGTTTGCACCAAAACCATTGGCTGATTTACAGATGGCGGCTCTGCTCAGATAAAACCAATTTAAAAGCGGAGGAACATTAAGCAGACTAACCGTGAAAAGGGACTGGAGAACAACTCCGCAGATAGCGAGGACCTTGGAACTGATGTTGTTGGGATCAAAGTAGGTGAGAAATATCATCCCGCAAGAAGCCAAAATGAGGGCGATTATCTAAATTGCAGATTGCAAGAAATTTAGTACTTGTAAACACTACACTACCTCCAATGTCTAGCTTTCTGCCTTTTACACCGTATCCTACTTATTAACAGAGAAACGACTGTGTGAGCCTATTTTCAGTGATAAGTTAGCTCGTTCTGAAGACAGTGGTGGAAGCAGCTTACCCTGAAAGCCACGAACTTCTTCGGGACAAGAATCCAGCTGAAGAGGTAGCTGTAGGGTGGAAGAATGCAGATGATGGCCGCCATGTCGGTGACCGAAATTCGTCGTAGACTTCGCACGATGCAATAGAGGTACGCCGTCCACAGCATGTTGAGGCCACAGCTGCGGAACACCACCACCAGCCAATTGGGATTGCCATCGGTCAGGTGGAAGACGTAGTCCCTGGACGCGCATCGGTTAAACCATCACACGTGGGGTGAATGCAGTGATGCGATGCGACAATATCTGAATGCTTTCTATGCATTGAACCGGCTAAAGCAATGAGTTTACTTCGGTGAAGGCGTATCGATTTTTTCTCGTCGCGGCTTCTCATTGGCTGCGGACATCAAAACTACCTGTAACCAGTCTCACGACGTCTTCTACTTTCATAGTCTCCCTGCGGCGTCAAAATGCCATGTCTTGTTTGTTTAGAAATATGAAAATCTAACCACAGCCAGATTAGTTTTTGAACTTTGAACCAAAAGTGACTCGGAAATGAGTCATTCCTGCTTCCCGCTTTAGTGTTTACCTCAGTAAAACAAAGTGCTACTGGGCTTGCCGCAGCTTTGTCTCCTTGCAAATAATTAAAGATTAGACGTGGGTCTTAAAAATGACCACCATTTTTAGGCAGTATACCCTTTTTTGACGAAATCAGACAACCAAGTGGACATTTTACATGGGTTGTAGACGCACATAAAGACCATCTCGCGTCGAAACACACCCAATTCACGTACTTACAAGGGGTGTTTTATTGACATGGACGCAATTACAGCCCCGATTACGGGTCTTTGATGCACACCAATGCAAATGTGAAGGGCGGCTTTATAAGCTTGACTCACAAAATCAGAACTGACGGATTTTGCGTCTTTCTTTCAATGCACATCGAAGCGGCCATTGAGATGGGAATCAGGAGGATCAGGCTGGAAGACAGCAGGTAGACTAGGAGGGCAGGCGTGTCAACTACCTATAGAACACAGCATCAAGGAAAGTAGTTTTGCGACGGTTACTGTGAGTTTTCCTTAGAAATCTGTTTTAAATTTGGCAGCAAAATTGAGTTTTGCGTAAAAATTGCTAGTTACTTTAACTAAATCATGCAAACCTGCTAAATTGAGTGTCGTAAATTGAGAGGGGCAGTACCGCTGTACGCGGAACACCGACAATAAACGCCAATGAACTAATTAATGAATGTTTGTAGACATCTACATTAGACGTCTAGCTTGGCACGAGTTGGTAAGTTCGATGCAAGGTGGTCTATAAAACAACGAGTGATTGGCTAAACGCGGTTTTTAAATTTGGCGGATGCGAACAGACAACCAGATTGGCTAATAGGTATTGGACGATCAAATAATCGATTGCCTGATAGGTGAGCACATCTCATTGGTGTTAAATTTACTGACTTGCTCGTTATAAATTTGCAGGTAGGTCTAGCTGTCTGGGGTGGAAATTGTGCTTCAGGAATGTCAGAGACATAATTGAATACTCAAGAAAAAGATGTCAATACAATCGGTGCTAGACGGCAAATTGAATCTTTGCCTTCGACTTGAACAGGCTGGACGCAGATTCGTGGGTTGCGGTTCAAGCAAATGGAAATGCCTTCCAACCATGGCAATTCTCCAGGGATCCTACATTCCTAAACTGTCTGTCCTTCGTTGTGCTAGGATCTCTGAATGAACCTGCCGCAAGGACATATCGGATTCTGGTTCAACACCGTGGAAGTCTTGTAACGTCTGGTGTGTTAATTTCTGCATCAAACCGTGCTCAAAACGTTTGACGAACTCTTGAAAAATTACTACATGACTTGATAATCAGTAAAGAAGATTTTGATGTGTGTTTCATCATATCGAAAACTTGGCCTCGTTTGCTAGTTGAGGTGACTTTAGCTATTTACATTTAACCGCTCTACGTCCCAGCTCTCTACAACACGATGCCTAACGATGTACGACAGGCGCGCGAGTTCTTACGTCTTCGAGGTGCGTTGAATTCGCCTGACTTGGGGTCGTGGAGTTGTCCGGCAGGCGATAGAACCACTTGACGGCGCACAGGAAGACATTCATGACGAGGGCGAATGAGAAGCACGTGCAGACGAAGACGACGGTCTGCTTGAGGCCGCGTCGGATTCTCTGCAAAACCTCCAACGGTGTGACCTTCACTGTCTGGAGGGCTGGACGGCGCACTTGGAGTCGACGGTCGAAGGTGATGGAGCTTGTCGAGGCGTTTGTTGGCGGGTCGTCCAGCGAACCGCAGGACCGCTCCTGGAACCTGCGCGTCCGACTTGACAGCAATTTGCCCAGTTTTTTGGGCTAAAGGAAATCATCCAGTTAACATGATACCTCTTAGTAGTACTGACAATAAACTGTCAAGAGTTCACCTCGCCCCGTTTGTTTTAGGTAAGTGAGCCAATAACCATTAGCGGATTAAGTGATCAGTTGATTTGATGATTCACCTCTAAGCGGGCAACTCCTATTGGTAACGGTTTGCACGTACATCAATTTCCTGTAAGTGTGTTGCAGTTAAATGAGAAATTAACCACTTGTCAACAACCACAAAAGAGGTTTCCATCTCTTCAAACCAACTAACGCGACTTTAAGGGAGCGAAATTTGATAGCGTGACTCGGGCTGTTAATAACACTGCCGAATCTCCCCCCATTGACACGATTTCCAAGAAACAGCCGAATACACGCAACATTTCTGCTAACTTAAACTTACTGGTGTGCCTGACGTCGAAAACCAATCAACAGGTCCGGCTCTTGTCAAAATGACCAATAAATGCTAACTTGGTGAAACCGGTTGGCGTGAATGGTGCTGCCAATAACACTGCGAAAATTCATTTCAAAGCCATAAAGAACACAGACATCCGTAAAATCTGTGAGTTTGTAAAGCCGTGACGGCAAACTGGCACAAGATCAGAACTAGCAAATGCAGTCTCTCAGCTGTAGACAATCTTCACATGCAATAATCATTTTAACAGTGTGGTTTATGAAAAAAGCTACCGTCATGAACCCACACATGTACCAATGCACATCGACACAGGTTCGTCTGATTAATGATTGGACAGGATGCATCAGACACGACTACCTTGCTGACACCAGCCAATGGGATTTCAGAGACGGTGGAGTTATGAATTTAAACGTTTGCCTTTGTGTTACGCGTTTATTTCGTACTGTGCTGATTATTGATGCTATCGCCACAACAAACGGTCGTTACGGGCAACCTCGTCAAATTAGTTTTGTTATATTTCAACATTATTAAATCTGATCTTAACTGTGATATCAATATCTTCCTTGCATCAAAATCCTCTACCAGCTAAATCCTGCTACGCAACGCCTAATTCCCTTTTTTTCTAACTCAATCCCAGGTATTACCATAGTTGGAGTTGCAATGCACACCATTTCGATTATTCATGTTGACCGCGTACAATCCAATTGGCCGACTCTCATTTACAAAACGCCGGTTTATTGGCTGTCACGGCCATCCACACCATGAATAATTCAGTCCACCAAAGGTAAATGATTTGTAGTGT